CAAGAGGCGTCCTAAATCCACCTTAATCTTGTCACTAGGCTGTTGTTTATCAGGACGTTGACGTTTTGGTTTGTTGTTAACCGAGGCAATGGCCTTCGCCATCGAGACACCTTGCGAGTATGTAGCAAAGACAGTTGCAAAGTGACAGGTTTTGTTGGCCCAAGTTCCTATTTGCGGGTGAGTCGTGTATTGCTTGAGCCATCCCAACTCGGAGGATTTGTTCGGGGTCACGGTGCTCGTCGCCACAAGGCAGTAGGCAAAATCTAAACGATTAGCTTCACATGAGAGCTAATTGATATAAGCGAAGTAAGTATTATGAAAATGAAATGAATATATCTAAATGTCACTTACCTGATGAGCAATCTTCTCGATAGCCGTCTTGGATTTGCGCTGAAGCTGAGCTGTTGAAGGACTGGTTGGAGGCTTGCCCAGTTCGTTGTCGACTTTGACCATATCAACTAACCGTTCATATATCGGCCGATAGAGCTCATCCTCTTCAACGGTCAGCTTGTGAACCTTTGGAATCGGGATAAAGGAGTCACCGCTGTGCTCCTGCTCTTCTGGATGATCGTCCACCACACATTCTCCAGTTTCGGGGTCCAACAACAGGTTAGGCACACCAGCCAATGCGTAAAAGTTAATGGGCTCAAAGACTGCTTTCTCATCGTCTGAGAGCGCTCGCCACCTGGCCCCGGTCTTCCAATTACGGTCACCCAGGAAATCTCCGCCTTCTTCTTGACCTCTCAGCGGCACTAACAATTTCAAACGAACAATAACAGGTCAGTCACTTGTATGTTAATTTCAAAATCAAGACCCCCACTTACTTGGTTCGGATAAGCAATCCAAACAGTACTGGAGGAAGATGGTATAACGGCTAATTGCTCTTGTTGCCGACATCTCGGGTCTGATAAGGAAGATGCAAAACAATCAATAACATGAAAAAAAGAAAATTCACAATACATATGAATACTTACATATAGGACTTGATGGTGGCTTCGCTCACTTTACCAATCATAGCCAGCATGAGAAGCTCGTTCTTGAATTGATTGTAGACCAATTTGACACGATCATGAATTTCAGATGGCAGACGATTTTGAGTCGAGGCCTTATGTTCTTCAAGATGTTCACGGATACGGCCAAGAGGCCACAATTTCATCATAGTCATGTAATTGTCAAGTGTTGGAAGGATTTCAGGTTGATTCGTAGTGTCGCCGAGTGTTTGATCGTCATTTGATCCGGCACCGGTAGACAGATCATTGGTAGAAGGTTCTTCGGGGTTGGTAGTGTTGTTACGGACTCGTTTAGATCGGTTAGTAGAGCGGGCAGCCTGTGGAGGTCTCTTGGACAAAGTAGCACGAGTTGAGGTGTTTGAATTAATGGGGCCTGGAGCCAAATCTTCTGCTTGGGTACGTTGATTGGAAGACTTGGAAGCGGCGGATACTCCTTTCTTCCAAGTGCGAGGAGCCATTCTGGATATTGTAATATGAAGAAGGAAGTCTAAATTTAATTAGGAATTTTTAGATAAGACTTTATAATGGAATTAGTAGGATATTTGAATTTGAAAACAAATTTTCGGAGAAGACTTTTAGAATGGAATTTTGACAAAGCGATGATTTGATTTGATTTGTTAAATTTGACAATCTTTGAGCTATACGAAACTAGTAAGTAGAAATTGAAGATTCGATGATTTGATAAAAAGGGAGATTTTGCAGCAATATGACACTAGATAGTTGCACAAAACTATTTCACTTGAAAAAAGGTAAAGGTTGATTTTTCACGATATAGTTGGTAAACTAGTAAGCCAAATATAACTTTTGAAGAGATGATTTGATTCAATTGATTAGGGAGAAATTTTGACTCTAATGGCATCCGGGTTAGTTAAAAAGGAAATTTTGAAGGAATCGATCATTCGATTTGAGACATTAGAGTATGTATGTATTCCAGAATAATCCAGCCAGGTAAGAAGAAAATCTGAAGAAGAAATCTGAAGAAGAAGGAGGAATTTGATTCGATGAGATAGGGAGTCTATCAAAGGTGCTAGAAATGATAAATTGAGATGATCGGTAAGAGTAGATGGAAGGGATTGAACTGACTGTCTGACTCTTGTTTGTGAAGTTTTCAATTATAGATCTTTATGGAAAGTTAGGAATCGGGATGATATCAATATTGATATATCAAAGGAAATAGTATCACATAACTTACGTCATTGAATTATACATATGAACATATGTTAAATGTTCATATGTATATATATACATACATATGAACTTATATGTAATTGTATACTCCACCTTCGACTTTCAGAGCAGGTAGGTTGTACCCAAAAAACAAAAAAATAAAACAAGGCATGAAGATGAGGTGCCATCAATTTTTGGCAATATCAAACTGTGCATCAAATTACCAGCTCTATCTACCCTGAGAAAAACCAGCCTCTGTTGCAGTTTTAAATAGTATCTTTGGTGAGTTTGGGGCAAGAGTGGGAAATGCTAAAGATTCAAAAAGTGGGCTCAACCAGTGAAGATGAAGAGCAATCAAATTTCTGGCTTAACAAACTAGCCATTTTTTTTTGTATTTCCATCCCCCACGCGGAAGACTAAGCATTATAGTCCTTTGATCTGGGTACTTTTTACAAATTTGAGTGTAGAATGTGATAACCAAATATGAGAAACATGATGTACAGTGATGAAGATGAAGAGATAGATAACCAAATGCATAATGGAAATTGTTCAACTTGAAGTAAGGCAACTTCTATATTAATGGTATTTACCCAAAACTCTTCATATTCAAAGTGCTATAGTGGGATTGATGCTTGAGCAGTGATATTTGTACATATTTGAGGTGTACAATTGGAACATGAGCGTGCTGATGAACCTGTGTAAATACTTATACATAGTGATCATTTTCAGGTTGCAGATATACACACCTTTTAAGAACAACATTTTGCCCCAACTGTTTATCTTCAAAGGGTTTGACTAGTTTTAATGCTTCAGTGAGGCAATTTGTACCAATTCAAGGGCTACATTAGGTGTAAAGTGCTGAAGATGAAGAGATAGATATACAAATATGTAATGAAAAATGTTCATCTTACAATCAAGCAAAATTTTCATTATCATCATTCATCCATAACTCTTTCTCTTAAAAGGGTTTGACTAGATTTTATGCTTCAGTGCGGCAAATTGTACCAATTCAAGGCTTACATTTGGTGTAAAGTGATGAAGATGCAGAGATATATATACAAATGTATAATGAGCAATGTTAACCTTGTAGTAAAGCACAACTTTCATTAATAGCAATCACTCAAAAGTGTTCATCTTCATAGTGTTTGAGTGGGTTTTATGCTTCAGTGCGGCAAATTGTACCAATTAAAGGCTTACATTTGGTGTAAAGTGATGAAGATGAAGAGATCTATAGACAAATGTATAATGAGCAATGTTAACCTTGTAGTAAAGCACAACTTTCATTAATAGCAATCACTCAAAAGTGTTCATCTTCATAGTGTTTGAGTGGGTTTTATGCTTGAAGGGTGAGGATGTATGACATTTTTGAGTAATGATGTTGACATATGAGAATGAAGATGAGGAGTAAAGGGGAAATATGATTAATAGAAGTTGTCCAGCGTCCAGACTTACACATATTTCATTATAAACTTTTTTTGGTACTCAACCTCTTAACTTGATAGTGTGATGTTTGTCAATAATTTGGGGCCAAAAATTCGAAATAAAAGTGATGCAATGTTTGTCAAACAATGCATCCCATGGTTTTGGCCAAGATTATCAACACAAATGTGACCCAACCAAGGTGAAGATCAGGATTTATGAAAAAAGTATTATAATGAAATATGTGCAACTCTACAAGCTGAACAATTTCTAACAATCAAATTTCCCATTACTCCTCAACTTCATTCTCATATTTCAACATCTTTACTCAAAAATGGCGTATTTCCTCACCCTTCAAGCATAAAACCCACTCAAACACTTTGAAGATGAACACTTTTGGGTGATTGCTATTAATGAAAGTTGTGCTTTACTACAAGGTTAACATTGCTCATTATACATTTGTATATAGATCTCTCCATCTTCATCATGTTAACAAATATTTCCCATATTTGTTTATCATGCTCTAAGCTCAATCTTGTTTAAAGTACCAAGATCAAAGCACTATAATGCTTACTCTTCCGCGTAGGCGGATGCAAATTAAAAAAATATGGCCAGTTTGTTAAGGCCGAAGTCTGATAGCTCTTCATTTTCACTGCCTGAACTCACTTTCCAAATTTTTGGATTCTCCTGCTCTACCCTCACACAAGCTTTATCTGCCAGAAGTGTAATTAAACAAAGGTGCCATATTCTCAGGGGAGATAGAGATTTCAATTTCATTGCCAGTTTGTTAATGCACAATTTGGGTTGCTCCCCATCTCAATGGGTTGATATTATTTTTTGATTTTTTCAGTATCAAGGGTCACCAAGTGTTGAATCATTCAACTTGTGGATTTCCTGAGAAATCTATGTAAGGAGGAAAGCCTTGTTTTTTTTATCATTTGCTTTCTTTGATCATTAATTCAAAAGCTTTAGACTATGACCAGTTAGACACCGACCAGTTAGACAACAAGTTCAACGAACCCGTGTTAGGTAAAGATGGTGGAGTAGTACAAAAGAAAGTTGCACTACCCTTCCGATGAAAAAAGACGTCATGGATGAAGACCGTCAACGTTCATGATGCCTTGGTATCATACAATTCAAACCGTTCAACTGATTCAAATGGACCCAATTACAAGTCCGAAAGGGGTCTTCTTGACCATTTGAATCAGATTCGAATACCCCTTTGGGAGAATCCCTGCGCATAATCTGTGCTTATTTAACTATCTAAACATAAATTCTTCGTTAGTTGTTTTTCATCCGACCTTCATTGATTGTTACTACCAAATTTCTTTATTCTTGGTATTCAATTCGCGCTCCACTCAAAATCTTTTGTTTTATTCAAGTCGCTGGTGCGCACCAATCAACATGGCACCTCGTGATGCAAACAATCCTCTACGTCCAGCAAATTGGTTGAAAAAACCAAGACACAACTCAAGTCAATCATCTCAGATGTTATTGGAATGGGAACAAATTGAGGAGAATTGGTGTACTCAAAAATGTGATTCACTTAGCCCTGCACTAATCCAAAACGTAGCGCCTAGGCCGTCGACTAGCCAGCCTTATTTCGATTCGGATATGCCGAATGATGAGAATGAGCTTGACTACGAATATCAGCATCATTTCGAAGACGATAACAAAGACGATCCTCCATCTTCTGACCCGGAATCCAATACTGAATCCAATGATTCCCAGCAATCAATTGCTTCTAATCCCGGAACAGGGATCACAGTCACTGCGGCAAGTGGGATTACAAACCAAATGCGTCGTATCCGAGAAGAGAAGCAGTGGCAGGAAGTTATTGCCCCTATGTTTAAAGTCTTCATGCTTTGCAAACAAGAAACTTTCAACTGGAGTCGGTCCAACTGGGATTTGGACAGAAAAGATCAGTGTTGATGTTCTGTGGCTAAGAAAAGAATTCGGCACCTAGCCATGGTGGATATAATGAGTGGGTAATGTATTTTAAAATACTCAAATACAACATGATTCTAATGGGGTTTCGAAACATGAAAGCACACACCATCCAGCGGGTGGAGTTCTGTTCATGTCAACCAGACCAGGTTTGGCTGATCCTGATGGGTTACGTTGGCGGTTCGCCAGTTCATCCCGAGATCGCGTTCTCGTTGCGATTTCTCCGGCTGCATGACTTCATCTGGAAGTTCTGCTGTGTTTGTATGCATCCTCTGGCACAGGCGTTCGATGCTTTTCATTGACCGGCCCGAGATTTTAAGGAGGATGTCACTCGGAAGGTACGTCCTATGTGTCATCTGACCTTTGTTTATTCTTGAGCATTAAAAACTTACTCAACTTGTTATATCCAGCCTACTAGATGGGGACGACAACTTTCCTGTGCAGTTGATGCGTACAGACGGCTGAACCAATTGGAGCAAGACCTACAGCTCCAAGCACTGGAACTCTTTAAAAAAGAAAAGCTAGGCGCTAATTGCCCGCGCTGTTTTGGAGCGGACAAATATTCTAAGGAGGAAAACGAACCAGACTACATAGTCTGTATTGACGGAAATTTCCAGCAGAGAAGGCATAAATCTGCCAGTGTTGAGGTCAGCGCAATTCCGATCCGCTATCCAAACCTCTTCCTTCATGTGAATGAAGTCAAGAAGTGGGATACGTTACACCCTGGCTCTGCAAATGAACCACTGGTAAGTTAAGATCAAAGCCAACATCTAAATTGTTTAAGCTAACATATTACCTTCTGCTCAGGACCCTTGCACGCAGATGCACACTGCTGCAAACAACTCACGTAGTTCCTCTACGTGGCGTGCCTGTGATGATACAGGCCTTTTGGTGATGGTGTGTCGCCATGACCACGTGTTAGCCTTTGTTAATATAGTTCAGAGTGGTGAGAAGTCAGTTTTCTCATCGCCATTTGGGGTCGTATCACATGAATAACAACAAGTACTTACATTTGCCTTGTAGAGCATATTTTGCTCCTCTCATCGACTGGTTAATCAATCAGTTGGATGAGACTGATTCCAAGGTGGGCTGGCTTTATGACATCGGATGCAACCTTGAGAAAGGTCTTGTCAGAGTGAGAATCTCATATTTAATTGCATCAATCATACTCTCAACCGCTGATATTTCTTTCACCCAAAATAGCACAACCTCTTTGAGCAGGAAAGATTGAAACATCGGTTCAAATTTGGTACAAGCGTGTTCCACGTGTATGTACACAGTTGGAGTTGCCAATTAGATTACAACCCAAGAATCAACCTCGGATGGGGCTTGTCGGATGGTGAGGGCTGCGAGCGGTGTTGGTGTAAGCTGTGCAAGTTGGTTGCTGCTCTGCGATATTCCACAAAGCAGCATCAAATTGATGCGCTGGATCTCAAAGCAGCACATGAGAACTGTATCTTGCGGACTGACTCTGGTAAGTCTCTGGTAAGTCACAAATTATAGGATGTTTTATACTCATCTGTGCTATCAATCTCAGTTCATTCCTGCCTACACAAGTTGGGAACGGCCAAGAGAACTTTGGCGGAGAAGCGCTTGATCCTTGATGAGCTTCGAATAAAGCGCGAGTATACTCATATCTATTTTGAAGCACAGTGGTCTCGTCAAAAACTAGTCCAGGCGGAGGTCATTGGCGACACAAATGTACAGCAGTTGGAAAACCAAATCGAGGAGTTGGTTGAATATCAAGAAGACCTGCGAGAGGCAAAGTAAGTGCTTCTTGTCTTGAATTTTCAACTGATCAAAGCTAATATAATGTGTCAGATGTCTACAGAGAGAAAAGGGACTTACTACGCAGGCGCCAAAGGAGAACCCCCGCCGAAAATAGGACTCTGGCAGGTTTGCTGGGACACATCATCTTCCTTGAAGAGGAAGTAGACCGAGTATCACTGGAGCTTGGTAGTGACCTGTTCAGGAACATGCCAGATGCCTCAGGTAAGGTATGAACATATTGCATATGTTCATTTTTAGATATTTACTACTATCTTATATTCCAGACCCAACTCGGCTTTTGTTGATACAAGTGAAAGTGGCCAAATCAAAACTCTACTAGGCAAAGGTGGGAATTATTGAACTGTCGAAAAAATGGGAAACAGGTTTTGTGGTGGCTTTCAAATTATGGCCAATAGCAAATATCTAATTTACTCTGCTGTTATAACAGGCACCTCGTCTCAGGTTCGGATGAAGAGTGTAATGAACACTAAACAGAAGTTATTCCGAACAAAGTGGAAGACATTCCACGATCTCGTTGTAACCTACAATGAATCTCATCCAGACAATCCTCCATTGATAAATTATACACTTGACGAAGCCAAAGCTTTGCCACTAGACGATGCGTTTTGGAACTTTGGGTATCTGACACATCCTGATGAAGCTTGGGCTTCGGATGCAGACACCCAGAAGGGTATTCAAGCTTACTTATTGTACTGTCGCTCCGAAGAGGAGTTGCGAAGAATCTCGCGCAAAGTAAGACACATGCTGAGATGGTCTTTGGCAACAGATGCAAAAATTGAAAATGTTCTGAGACTTTCAGACTCAAGTACGTCCTTTTGAATTCTATACTCCCTAAGATTTGTGTCCTGTGTCTGACGTTACATCTTGCTAGGGTGGGACCCAAAGGCAGCGGCACTGCGAATAGACTTGGTCACTGGAAGTACACGTTCACGTATGACAAAGACCGCGTGGGAAGATTGTACCGGCGTGTTGAGATCTCTATACCACAGCCTCCTCCTTGATCACGCAAGACTAGTATTTCGATGGGATATTCACCTCTTGTCCCTACTGCACCGAACCCAAAGCTATTGTGGAGCAACCATTGCTGAGGACAGTGCTTTAGAGTTGAGGTGGAAAGATATGCTACGTAGAATAATAGGATGATTTTATTGGACTTTTATTTTATATCTTGATCCCTCTGACCTGGAATACATTGCATGAATGATAATTCATCATATTGATTTGATTGATGGGAAGTGCAAAAGTGAGACAGTGAGACCTAAATGTGAGGGTGGCTGAGTTTGGTCGGTGAGCGTGTGAGAATCAAAAGTCCCAAAGGCAGATGAGTGCAGATGAGAAACCCCCTGAAAATTGCCTGTACACACGCTTGATCAAAAGTTGATGTGTGCAGATGAGGACAGATGAGTGTCCCCCTTTTTTTTGATATACTATACGTGTCATGAGTTTTGAGTCATGAGGTATCAGATGAGTGCAGATGAGTTTGCCCCGGATTGTAATGTGCAGTATAATTTATAATTGAATTTCAAGTGTGTACTATGGCTTTTGAGTCTCATCTGGATTATTAGTGCAGTCAATTACAGATGAATCTGCATGCTTTTGTCAGACTGATCTGTTGATATGTTGATGGATATCCATGACTGTGGCAGATGAGTCTGACTACAGCACATGGATTTTGAGTGAGAAGTTGTGAGTCTCATCTGAGTTGATAGTGCAGTTGGTGGCAGATGAATCTGTATGCTGGTGCCAAATTGGTCTGCTGCAGTCATAGCTGTGTTAATAGCCGTGACTGTAGCAGATGAGTCTGGCTACAACACGCAGACTCAATCTGATGTCAGGTTTGGCCAGATTTGGTCAGATGAGCCTGACTTGGGCTGTTCTTGTGGATCTTGCACTGTTACAAGTGTCTCAAGGTGTTAGGGGGTAAAGTGGTCTCTGAGACCTTTTTTTGAGTGTTCAGGACATGCATGAACACTCATGAAATGAAGATTAATCATAAGGAAATTTTGATGGAATTGACTTCTGATTTCGAAAAATTTCCTCAGATGACTCTGGCGCATCTGTTCTCATCTGCAGGCGGTTTTTCGGCATCAAGCCGTTGATAATGCGCTACAATATCCTCGGGTATAAGCCGGGCAATCCCGGTGTGGAACTAATAGCACAACAAGGGCTATACAGTGCTTTGAAAGAGGATAATCTGCAAATATGATATCTTTACAGAAGGTGTCTGTGACTGCTCTTTCTGAGAATCTTTAACAAACTGGACTTTGTTGTTAAAGTCTCCTGATAACAGGGAAAAATAACCAGGACTATGATAAAAGAGAAAAGTATCTGTTGATAAGGCACCAGTGAAATTTAACTCAACACAAAAGTGTTATTCCAAGTGAAGCTTTTTAGCTTATAAGACCAATAAAATAAATTCTCTTATTATTTAATAAGGGCAGTTTAAGTGAACTAGGACTGTGTAGTGATTCTTATAATGATAAAAAACTACTACACTTTATCATAGATGAAGAAGAAAGGGAAAAGTACAAAAGTGGGACAAAGACCAAGCCATATATATCTGATTTTACAAATTAATAATGGTAAACAGCTTTCAAAAACCAAAAAGATGACTAAAAAGTTGGTAAACAGCTATGATGCAATGATTCAATGATCTTCTACACTTCCCAAATTCGCCATTTTGAGCCATTTTAGCTAGTACAAATATGTAGTATGATGTAATGTGATCAATAGATCTTCTACAAGTGATTCTTTATTCATTTACCCAGCAAAGATGACTAATTGCTACTGCCAAGCTTTTCTTATGATCAATTTGTGATTTGTTGAATGGTAAACAGCTATTATAACTTCTTTAACTCATATATATTTTCGTCTCCAATCCTTTATAAACCCTTTACTAATAATGATTCATCTTCTTATAGTCAATCTTCATATATAAATGCCTTATCCACCTTCATTTCTAATATTAGAAGAGTCTTTTTGATTACCAATCAATTCTAAGATGATGGTGCTGTGTATGAATGATGAAAGAATGTGTTTCTGATCTTCAATAAGGACCAGGCGCAGATTCGAGCGATTCTTTACTATTTGAAGTACATTAGAGTGGTTTTTGGCTTTGGTATCAGCAGGAAGGTTAAACTATAGGACGAGTGACAGCCTTGTGGATGTCACTCAGTCACCTATCTAATCCCATGCCTGGTGTTTGAGATACCTCGATGACATGCCGATGATTGAAACTTCATCCTGGCTGCCCGATTTCACCTGCCCCCTTCTACAAATCCTCTTTTACATATTTCAAGTGGGCAAACCCATAGCTATCATTCGTGTCATCTGGGTGAAAGGCACCTTGAAAGCCTCGATTAAAGTGCAGATGAGCACTTGAATCCAGTGATGTGCACTCTAAACCAGTCTCCAAATAGAAAATAGACTGGTTTTTGACGTCCTGCGCAGTTTTCTCATCACGAGATAACAGAAATAGCGATAGCAGAAAAAGGAATAGAAAAGCACCTTCCTATTCCTTCACTAACAAAAGGACTGGCTGCGTAAAAGCCCCCAATGCTGCGTTTGCCCGCGTCATCGGCTGTGTAGATGACGTCGAGCCTCACTGAAACTATAGGAGGCTCGACGTTTTAAAACGAATGTTAAAGTTGATCGGACTGTGCACGATGTCTAAAAGTGGTCCTTTGTCTACTTTGCAAGCGAAAACGTGAAAAATCTGGTAAAACGAGTACCATATCGACAAAATAGTAATAACGAATCGCTCGAATCTGCGCCTTCTCTCTAATGACTAATTCATCTACCCTTTTCATTTGATTTCATCAGCTTGATTATCCATCATGGTTGTTTGAGCTCATAACCATCTTCCTTAATCCAAAAATCGAAAATCGAAAATTTCAACCTGTAACAACCCATAATTCACACTGATACAGCCACTACATATCCCATAATACATCTTCACTTCCTCTTTACCTCGCTGTCTCGTTTTCACTCGATCGATCTCGATCTCGATCTTTCCTTCCAACACTCTTCACTTCATCAATCTGTAAGTCATCTCATCTACCTTTCATTTACAATACTACCTTCAAAACTACCAAACTAACCAACATGATCTCTAAACACCACTAATCATATGTATTTAAGTTTTCATTTTCACTCGTTTCTCTTTCTTCTCATTCAATTGAATATTAATTTGTACTTAATGAACCTCTCTTCTAATAAATGTTTCTATTCTTTTCTCAGTTTTTTCTTTTCTTTGTTTAAAATGAATAAAAATAAAACTAAAACTAAAAGTTAAATAAGTGTTTCAAAAATAAAATATGGTTTTGAATATATTAAAGGAGCTTCTGTCTTAAGATTTGTTTGTTTGTATATCTTTCTTATGAGTTGTTTGAATTAAACCATGAAACATTGAATGTCAAATCTAAAACTATGTGTACTATAATAAAAAATTGGTTTTTGACTTTTAAAATGAAATATATAAAAATTGATAACAATAAAATTAAATGAAAATTGATTTAATATATGTTAGATTGCAAAGTTATGATGTAATTAATATGTAATAATAACTCCTGCTCAATAATGATTATCAATAATTTAAATTTTGATTTTTTTTTGATTGATACCATGATCTGCGCACCACACCGGGGCCACAGGTGGATTCTATGGATATCATGTAATTTCCAAAGCCTACATGGTCGAGCTATAATGTGCCATGCCGCTTGGAGGCAACCAAAGGCTCTTTCAATATCCTTTTGAGCAGATTCTTGTGCTGTGGCGTGGTTGAGTGAGGCATCATCTTGTGGCTGATTGATTGTCTTGATCAAGACAGGCCACTTTGGGTAGATGCCATCAGCAAGATAATAACCGTGTTTGTATTGATTCCTGTTGACCTCAAAGTGCATCCTTTCATCAGTACCTGATTGGATATTTGTCAGTTTTTATTCAGGATGCTTGTTCTTGAAATAATAACCTACCGCTTAGAAAATCATTAAAGAGTGGAGATAAATTCAAAACGTTGATATCATTCAGAGAACCAGGGGTTTTGAAGAATGCATGCCAAATGCGAGTGCTCTTGGATGCAACAGCTTCTAAGACAATTGTAGCTTTTTTTTCTTTGCCTTGAAATTGTCCTGCCCAACCGGAAGGACAGTTTTTCCATATCCAATGCATCCCGTCAATGGAACCTTTGCATCCCGGAAATCCTTGTGCCTTGTACTCCTTGGTGATCTTATTGAGCTCATCTGGTCTTGGAGGACCGAGATATTTTGGACCAAAGATCTCAATGACTCCTTGAACAAACTTTTTCAAACACTGAATCGCGGTTGTCTCTCTAATTGAAACAAGTTCGTCTATAATATCCGCTGAAAGTCCATATGCCAGTTGGCGTATTGCACAGGTTACCTTTTGTAAAGTAGATAGGCCCAGCTGAAGGCAGCAGTCCTACACGGAGAAAACAGTTCATACGAATCCAACAATCTACAGCTTGTCACGAGATACATACATATCTCTGAACCCAATATATATCATGGGCTTCAAGCTGTTCACAGATATCGAGAAACCTTTCTCTGCTCATTCTAAACTGTCTTTGAAAAATTTCATTATTGAATTGTGGATTCTTGTTGAGATAGTTTTGCATCAGACGTTCATGAGCTTCCTCTCTATCTTGTTTAATCCTTCTTCTTCAATGCTTTTGTTCTTCATTCATCTGTTCCTCAGTCAACTCCAACACCAAAAAAGCCTCATCATTATCTTCCTCAGTGGCTTTGCAAAGTCTCTGGAGGTGATTGATCAAAAGCGTGTTTGAAAGTAGATCATTTATTTGCAAGTTGTGTATTGGATTGTCATTGTCCATGGTGGATAATTTGAGTTTTGTTCAAGTTTAACCTTGAAGATTGAAAATTTGAAGAAGAGTTGTGAAGATTGGTGAAGGTTTGAATTTTGCGGATTCTTCAAAAAACTACAATAGTGGGACAGTGTCCATTCTGTACAGTACGTACTGTACAGAATGGTATATATTTCAACAATAGTGGAATTACATGTTTCTGTACGTACGGCTACAGTACTTTACAGACATGTACAGTAAATTTACTGAAAATGTACTGTTGCAATTCAGCCTGAGCCCCAACCCAAAAAAAGCGGGTAATGGCCTACCCGGCCCCCGAACCAATACCCAATGAGCCCCCCCGCCACCAAAACCTACCCCGAACCGATGAAAACCCGGCTCTCAGACGCCACCCCAACCCCTATCCCAAATGCCAAAACCTGCGGGGAGCCGGGGGTCCCCGCGGATAAAATCGGGGGTTTAAGCATTATGCCCCCCCCGCCCCCGAACCCTAAGGGGCCCAAAAAGCCTGACCAAACCTGCACTCCGAGGGTTTGGGGCTCGGGGAACCCTTGGGGCATCGGTTCCGGGCTCAGGCTGAGTCACGATTGTGGATGCTCTCATGACACCAAAGCCGTGGCACCACATGGCATCAGGGCACCGGGTGTGAGCGTGATGTAGTCATTGGGTGAGCCACTACATTCAGGTGGTGGGCGCGGATTTGGCAGAGAGGGGCGCGCCCGCGCAGAATCCATTGTCTGGGACGCGCCCAAACAGCAGGGGGCGTGTGGGCACGCCTTTGAAGCAAAAAACCATTAAAAACATGAAAAAATCTTCACAGACACAGCAATCAAGGCTGTGATGAAGCTCAAACACAAATGGGGATGTGAGAAAAGCTGTTTCAAGTCAGTATGACCACACTTTCAAGATAAGAATCACTGAAAGTTTTTGTTCCAGAACTAGTTTAAGCGTCTCCCGACTCAGATGAGCTCATCTGTAGGGCTTTCTCTGCCTTGAAAGTTAAACGGACCAGAATTACAATTTCATAGGCTTCCTCTAGCCCAAGATTAGGCCCAAGAAGACCTCCTACACTTCAGACCATCCAAGTCTTGCGTATGGGCGTGCCACCCCCTAGTGTTTTGAGAAATATATGACGCGCCCGGCGCGCCTGGCCGTGCGCGCCCTTTGACGCACCAAACGCGCCGCGCCCACCACCTGACACTACATACATGAGCCAATACATCTCGCATATGTAACAGGCTGAGTGACAGCCACCTCAGCTGTAACGTAGTGGCTACTCAAAATAGTCCAACATTACCCTCACCCATCCTTATGAGGGCGACCGATACATATCAGTCGCGTTTGAGTCGCCCCGTGGTGTACTAAGATCCTCAATACGATACCAGTATAGTCTCATGGCTGTGATGATATTTGCAAACAATCCAAAACCAAGCAAATTTATAACCCAAATCAGCAGCCGCTTCAAAGTCTCCAAAAGCCATTTATAAATGTTTTGATTTAAAGAAGAAAATGAACCAGTAGAAGCTATATCAGTGCTAAGATAGAGTGCTTCTGGTAAAGGTTGGTTAGCTGATGCATGCTTTGAAATTATCTCAAGTGCTATATCAGTATATCTAACTAATAAAGGATTGGAGATACAAGTAGCAGGAGCATTTGATTTCTCAGGTGAATGTTGAGGTTCAGATCGAGATCTTTCACTAAATTTTAAAACTTTTCTAGCCCGTTTGATTCAATTGAGAGGATCGGAACATGAAAATCATCATTGTACTGTTGAGTAAGTGATTCTAGATTGACCACAGGGATTAAGATCTTTCAACTCGATGGAGGGATAAAGGGGATAAAGGGAGTCAAATTTGAGTTGGATTGTGATCAGGTGAAGGGAATGAGATAGGTTGTGAATGAGTCGATCGATCGCTATAACTGTTTTGTAATTGAGGTTTAGGTTGAGATGAAGAAAGATCCAATTGATGATATCGTAAATTAGAAGCAGTCTTTAGAAGCAGTCAGAGCAGATGAATGCTCAAGTTCATTTGATAAGATCCATTTCAATCAGTTTGTTTGATATCCATTTCGATCAGTCGGTCTCATAGATTCCATCTCGATCGGTTCGTTCTTCCATTTCAAGCAAGGCAGATTAGTATCGTTGCTATTAAGATACAAATATGACAGAGATGCTTACAATTTGCAGTTTGATTTAATCAAGATAAAGGAACAGGTGGAAGTAAAGGTCTAGCATACCTGGATTGAGATTGTCGCGGTGAGTTTGTTTCAATCGATTGAGGTGGTTTAGCTTCACTTGTTTCTACAGACACCTTTAAGTGCGGAGCACAGAAGTCTGGAGACGGTATCACTGTCTTCACAACTTGTCTCACTGGTAAGAGACACTTTCACCAGCTGGTAAAGGAAGGGATTTATCAAGCTTTTGATTCTGATTGATCCTAATTAGAATGATCACTTGAAATGCCTTTTTGGTCTTGTTGGTTTCTGAGTACAACAATCGTTCATTTTATTCGCACTCGATAATTGTTAATTCTGAACAAGGACCACCAAATTAAGACAATGGAATTTTGAAAACTATGAACAATGAACTAAAGCTATCGACCAGTAATAGTATGCTTGTCATCACCAAACAATCATAGTATGTCCTTTGATGAGATGACCCAGCCTAAAATGATCGATTCGTGTTCAAAAAACAAAGCAAAAAAAGAAAAAACCCACCAAGCACAAGACACGAGATCACAAATTCAAGTGATGGACACCTCAAGTTAACATCACAGCTTTCTCATGTTGATGATGGATTCATAATCATACACTGTGTGGGTCCTCCAATTAGATGGCTGATCAGTTAACAATTAGGAATTGGAATTCAAAAAACGAAGAAAAAAACGAAAAGAACAAAAAAACACAAAAATGCGAAAACCGAAGATTGGGTGCAGACACCTCGCGTCTTGGCTTCCGTAGATAAATGTATAGAATACAAATGAGAACATAAGAGTTGTGATAAGGTCATGAGAGATTACAAATGAAAACATAAGGGTTATGGTAAGGTCATGCGAGCTCGACCTTTTTTCACACTAATACATATATAACATTTTATTGTTTTAGGGGATTGTATAAGAGTTCCATATTACCCAAACATATAAAGACAGTTAGCTTATATTATTACATATTGTATATAGAGAGAGACATGAAACTTGATCATAACTCACCAATATTGGAAGTGCCTTCCAGCTCTGGAAGGGGGCAACTAAATGCCTCCGCAAAGGAGAGGCAAAGCGATCTAGGCCTCCGAGTGTAGAGGCTCCTCCGTGGAGAACCACCTTCGGAGGTGCCTTTTGAGTTGGCAAGGTGAATGTTATCTTGCTCTCCTTTGAAGGAGATCCATCGAATGAACCGCCTGCGCAGCTTACAAGATTGTAGGAATTCATGTAATCCCTAAAAAGCATTCTCAAATAAATCAGTGGATTCAATTGATCCCAGGTATGATCGCTCCACTTACTTTCAACTGTCTTCTCAATGACATTTTGACGTTAATGGAGATATGATATGAGGAATGAAATTGTAAAGGTTCGTGGTGTATAGGTATCAAACGCAACACAATTATCTAGCTGTGTGGGAGTGGAGTAGCAATCGAGATAGTGGATTGTAAGTTTTAAGCTGATCGATTGGTTGTAAAAGATTACTTCAACACAGAAGGAGAGAACATCAGGCACTTACGCCGTGAAAGGTGAAAAGCAACTGGTGGTATTGATGTAAGACTTTGGGATAATTAAAGATTCTCAGAAATTATACAAAAAGAAATCGATCGTGAGCGATGTGAAATTATGAGAGATTCTAAGAGAGTAGGTGACTCGATTGGATAGAATAGCAGAATAAATTGCAAAGGCGATGATCTAAAAGGCTTTTCTACTTGAAACGAAACGAGTATAAGATATATAGATTTATAGTGAATGGTAAAAGATGGAAAGAGATATTGTGAACGTGGTGGTTTAGAGGATGTGGATAGGAAAAGGGAATCGAGGACGAGCTCTATTTATAGTAAAAAAATCAGTCACAAAGCCAAGGAAGCAAGACCACTATTACAAGTCGTTTTTACACTGATAACTGTGTGGAATCGTAAGCGACCCACAACTTGATTGTTCAACTTAAGAATGGTATAGGTGCACAAATAGTTTTGTGATGATTGGAAGATGTGCAAGCATTGGCATTGCAAATTGTTTCCATATAGCTTATCTCGTCTTTCACATCTAGAAAGTTCTATTCCAGAAGAATAAGTGTTTTTCCATGTCAGTATGTTTCTTAAGAGTCATAGAAAGGAGCATAATAAATTGCATGTTTCCGAGCATTGGCTCACCTACTGATAGACTTTGTTGTGGCGCTTCAGGTCGTTTGAATGTTTTTGAGTTGTCCCTGGACTTCAGCTTTACAAGCCGGATTGGTGCTGAGTGACATTAACTGAGACCCGCAAGTTGATCAGTCATCACTCAAAAAAGGTATAGGTCTAGAAATGCTTTCGTGATGACGATGACCAAGAACTCTGGATAAAATTTCCAGATTCTTTCCAGAAATTATACCCTGGTAAGACCAATCTACAGAAGTACTTTTTGTCAGTATACTTCTTAATATCGCAGAGAGCTCCATAGTTCATGGTGTTTTTCTCAGCGTTGACTCACTTTCTGATATCTGGTCTGACTGACTGAAGTCTTTTATCACACAAACGCTGCAACTTTACGCTCCACTGATACTTGTGCTCAGTGGAATTAAATGACATTCAAGGCAATCATTCATCGGTCAATAAAAAAGGGTAGGTATACCAAGCCCTTGTCGTTTTTTTTCAAGACCCTCAAAGAGCTGACGAAGTTGTAGATTATCTCCAGGAAGGCTATCCTTTGTCTTTCCCATATGGAACGTGCTATCGCAGAATTGTAAGCAATCTGTGTCAGTAAATTGATCTGCACAGTCCAGCTCTACATACTACTTGTAGCTTTTGCTGAGCCTCGGGGGTAACCCACAATTCGATTTCGTAATTTATCCTGAAGACGTTTGTGCCTATTTACAAGACAGAATGAGGTTGTAAATTCTTTCCAGGGGTCCTACTCTAGTAATCCATGTAGACTGCTCTATCGCAGAAAAATGAACTGTTTTTTGTGTCAGTATGTGTCTTAAGGATTGTAGAGAGGTTGATATTATATGACGTGTTTTCCAGACTTAACTTACGGACTAATCAATTCTGATACGTCAGTTGAGGTCTCTTGCATGATTCCAGCTGTTTCAAGCAGTCTAGTTTTACATGCCAGTATCTCAACTTCGACATACTTTCAAAGGTCGCATGTCCTATTGTTGCTTTGGAATCATAAACAGTTCCAGAGCTTTTGTCAGATTGAATCTTAGAGTAAAGCGACTGATGAATACACTACATACCAAACTCGGACATCTTGTTGAAGTCATACGGCTGTAAAAGCCTATCAAAAACCTTTACTTGAGAAAGACCGTAGTGTCCTGAAGCATTCTTCTCCTAAAGCACAAAGCGTCAATTTTGACAAGCCTCAGGATCAAAACATTAAGTCTTACAATCCTTGTTTCCTTCAGTTCATGGAAGACTTACTTCAGATGTCGACGTTTCGACTTTCTAGATGCGATACTTATGGTGGTGCGGAGGGGATGTACATGAGTTTTGTTTTGATGATCAATAATCTCCGCGTGACATAAAGCTTTTGATGAGGACTTGCAGAAGTTTTTTTTCGAGGATCAGCTCCTTCATCCAATCGCCTGATCCTACGACCATGAGCTTCACGCGTTCCGTTTTCTCCTTTTTCTCAAAAGACCGTTTTAGATGTCCTCTCCCTACACCATTCTGTCGATTTGAGAACGATGTTCATCATCCGTGAACATCATATTCTGATCACAAAAGCCATTCGAGGAATCCGTTGATATACCTACGATTTTCGAATGAACTTGCGAAGGAGCTTTTTAGGCTCTCATTGTGATGCATCAATCTTTTCTGGTGATACGAACCTTTTTGTATTCTAAAGGCGTGATTGACTTCAATCTTGATATATACTATAAATCAAAAGACAATTAGTAAAGACAACACCTTTAAAGCTTAATGTGATCAGTTTTCGATTTGGTAACATCACACTTACCCTCTACCCTTCTTCCTAGTCTTCCTTCCATTCCGTAACATCGAGGTCTCCCTTCTCCAGAATTGGGATATCATCCAACCTAGTCCCTCCACCCTTCTTCCAAGCCTTTGGTCCATTCCAAACGATCAGATGTCTCTCCTCAAAGACTAGGATACTATCAATTTTATCATAGTTGTGGAGTCGTTTCTCACTCGTCCTTCAAAACTTCATATGGACCCGCGCCCACTTTCTTTCGTTTACTTTACATAGATTCTATCAGTTAAGAAAATAACTCAAACGCTAGCCTCAGTATGATCAGTTGACGATCTTGTGATACATCAATCATCCTTTTTCGAAAAATTCAATTTTTCCTGTCTTTAATCGATTCCAAGACCTCACGCTATTTCTCTTCAAGGGTTGAAATATCAATAATGATATCTAAGTTATGAAAAATATTCACCATAGTCAATCACAGACTCTTATACTGCTTATAGAAATTGCACTCACTTTCTTCCGTCTCTTGGTATTTCCCCGTCTCTTAAGTTAATCTCCTATGACTCATCCTAGGAAAACTCGCCTTGCCCTTTCTGTATATGGAAGTCATATGTTTACCCAAACAGAAATGTTGGACGTCTCATTCAAGCTTTCTAGAATCTTAACAAACCACATTTGATATACCGATACCAAGATGAACAGTACCAAAGGTTTTCATAATTTGTATCGCGATCTCTCTTGAAACTTAGAAAAGTCACTCTCCCTCGTCGCAAGAGGCCCTCGAATATCCTCGATAGTGATTTAAAACTCAAACACTATATATCGCAATCGCGCCCATTTTCTCCCGTTTCTGTAGACTTCTTGGGCTCTTACATTTCTTTCCTGTAAGTTTAACTCGTTCCAGGAAACTTCGCCTTGCCTCGTCTGTATATCGAAGCGAAATGTCTACCTAAAAAGAGATGTTGGACGTCTTCGTGAAGGTTTCATCAATCTTCATAAACTGCGCTTGATAACCGACATCAAGTTGAACAGCACCATAGGTCTTTGTAATCCGTATCACACTTTCTGTATATTGAAGCTCTGTGTCTTGTCAACCGAACATACTACGTCTTATTCAAATTTTCATGAATCTTCATACACCAAGCTTGATATACCGGGTTCAAGATGAACAGCATCCAAAGTTCTTCCTGTGCAAGCTTATGATGAACTTGAGTATTCATATTCAATCAATCTAAATATATATCCGAATTTCAATCAATTAATCTTTCGGAATACAAACTTTGACTCTGAAACAATGAGCATATGTGTTATGAATCCTTACCAATTTTTCTTTTGAAGCCAATTGGTCTGCACCGATGTTTCTTACATATACATCAATGGACCATTTGGCAGGAGATTTCGGTATATTCCATCAAGTCTCGAGTTGACCTGGCGTGTACCTGAATAAATTTATTTGGATGTCGAAGGGATCGGAAGCAAGATGATATCAAAGATCATGTATCAATATACTGCCCAAAAGTATTCCTTCTTCAACAAGCTCCACGCTACTGTCCAAGGGATTCCTTCATTCAACAAACTCCGTGCCACTGGCCAAAATATCATTTCTTGGAAAAGTTTCACGATACGATTCTCGAAAGGACTGTCCGAGAAGGGCCTGTGGTTTCCCTCGCCATAGTAATATACTATACTACTTGAACCACGGATGATTGAACAGTTTGATCTCACCTCACATCAAGATATAAACACACGACAGACGCTATTATCTCAATGGTCCAAGTAACTCTTTCCAACATTCTCAAGGACACCTTACGAACACATCAGCTGGAATTCGGAAGTTTATGATGTTGTGGCATTTGTAGTATAGTCTGCACTCATGTTGAATGTTGAATTTGTTGGCGAGTCATTAACTTGAATTATCTTCTCTAGATCTTGGTCCTGAATCCTTCAGTGTTCACAGGTTCGTGATCAAGTTTTTTTACTGACTCCCACCAAGGATTATTGATTCGAGAAAACGGTATAGAGTCCTTTGTGACGTCGAAGGATCGGCTGAGCGGTTGACAGTCTGAGTCATGACCAATAATAACGAGTCACGATGAGGATTGTATTTTTAGTGTTGTCGCTACACAGGTCATGAATTTTCGAAACCGAAAAAAACGAGTTGAAATGTACGATCCAACGAAGTTTAAGAATTTTCTTTCTGTCAACCCAATTCGAATGTTGAAGGCGATCGAGAAAAAGAAACCCAGATATCTAGAAGTCACGTCGTCTCTTCCGCTAGACGGTAAACAAAGAAGTGATTTGATCGAATTTCGGAGGATTCGTGCTACAGAAGCAACTTGAACTAAGAATTTGATTCGAATTTGAAGAACTAGCAAAACTTGAAAGCGGTTGAGAGCACAGCATAAATTGAGCAAGGTCATCAGAACTCCAAAGATTTGAGAAATCTGTTGCTCTGTATTTCCTACGTGACTATTTACAGTTCCAGGACCACCACTTTGTCAAATGAATTATGGCTGAAAGTTTGATCGATAAACCGGCTATTTATCCGGTTAGCATTAACTCTATTGATCAATCAAGTTGACTTGGTTTCAAAAGCAATAGAACTTTTCTTTCATCTTCAAATGATTCTCAAATCTTTATCTTTCAAAATTCTCTGGCTCAACTCCCCACCATTCACAGACTTTGTATCCATAAATTCATATCCATAAATTTATTTCCAAATCAGCTCTATTCCAGTTACCAAAATCCATTGTAAACTTCAAGCAAAACTTAAATCCTTTCAAAAAAATCATCACTAAAAGGCACAATGAAGAGTAAGAAATAAAAGAAGAAATTTTGAAATGTCAAAAACCAAAGTATAAGATAAAGATCTTGAGAAAACATAAAAAAAAGGTGATTGTCTAACCCAACAAACTTTACACTATGTATATATTGCAACTTCTGTTTTCTATAAAGTTCAGTGTGATGATGTTGTACATAAATTGAAAATAGCTGAGTGATACTTCATGAAATTCCGTGTTCAGTGATTTTGCTTTTCTTTGAAATTCAGTTATTGGAGAACTACCAATACTCAGCAGGGTTGAAAAACCCCCTTGGCTAACTTTATCAAAAACTTGATGGAACTATAGTGGGCACCAAGTTCACTCGGGTACTTTGCTTCAACACATGTCGTCTACTTAAATATCTCAAATCTTACTAATCTCAAAATTAATGCTAATATAATCTGCACTACATCATATTTCTCTCAAAACACTTAAAAATCAAAATCCTTCTTACAACACAACTTCAATACCATATAAAACTATATCAAATACAACAAATTCTATGGTCATCCTTGATTCACAGTTTATTACAAGAACCCCTATCCCAAAATTCACCAAAGACTCAAGAAAAAGCCAACAAAGGTTAAGATGAAGTGCCTATTCCTTAGGAGGATCATCAGTCAAAGTGTAATCCATCATCTCCGTATCCCTATGCAATAACCTACAATATTCCTGATTCCAAACACCCCCATAAGAAAGATATCAATATTTTTCCTTTGACTTTGAAAAATGAAAAAACGTAAACAAACCAATATCAATCGGAACATATAAGCTTGCATATCTTCCTTTCTCCAAAACCTTTCAGTCCATGTTTTACCAGCTTCTCCAATCTTCCTTCCTTCTTCATCCTGTGCTCCTTCACCATTCAAGTCACCTGTAAAAAAGGCCATACTGTATTACAAATATCAGTAAGAGATAAAAAAAGGATGAATGAAGTTGAGAAACTTACATATCATATAGATCTTGATAGTCTAGTCGAACAGGAACATAACTGTAAAGTAAGATCAAATTCGAGGTTTAGAAAAGAGTCAGAATTGAAAAAATGAATGAGATCTGGACTAACTGGTACCATGGCTGAATTCGATCCGAATACCTAGATCAATGAGTCAGTTTGGGTTCCTGAATGTAGAAACTCTCTGTTTGAATGAAAAATAAAACATACCATTCTGGAAAGATTGTGCTACACAAACAAAAAGTAGAGTCAGATTCAACTGACATAGCAAAGAAAGGAGGAGAAAAGATCTGCTAACCTTTTGAGCACGACGCTTTTTGTCCCCATCAATCTATGAAACCTACCACTCCATCCATTACCATCAACATCCATTATGTACCTGAGAGTTGAGATGACAGAAGCAAGGGATGCATATACAAATAAGTCAACAGATAAAAAGAAAGATTGCAAACGTTACTGAACTTGTACTGATTCATTTCTTCTGGATCAAGTGATGGCTTGAAGGTGTATAATTTTGCAACCGCCTCACAGGTACCATCAAGATTCTTTATAGCAGGACCGACCAGATATCAACAGATTATTCTCGTCTCTCGCCATATGGTCCACACATAAAGAGACTCACATCACATTGAACGGGCCTACCAGCAAAACCCACATCAAAATATTTTTGATTGAGTAAGGCGGTATCAGCTTCAAAATACTTCATTTTCCTTGGTAGAGTGCCATCGACCATTCGAAACGTCTTGTTTCCTCTCCCATCGTTTGTCACTGAATTGATTTACCCACAAAAGGATGAGTTGAGCCACCACTTTGATGACCACACATTCTGGAAACACAATCGAACGAGATCGACAAACCTTTAACAAGACGAGCACGCTGTGACATTCTCCAATTGGTTTCAGAATCAAATAAAATCCCGGTATTCCCACCTCGCCATACCAATTTATTATGTTTATTACTCCACTCTGGATCATTTCCCACAGGTACCGAAAACTGGGATGGCGGGGTGATGAGTATTTCTGAAAATCCTACGAGTGGTTTACAAAATGTAAAGAGTGGATAGAACGGATGAACTTTTGGTCGAGTTCTGTAAAGAAAGGATACGTTAGAATCTGACGATGAGGTGGAAGATCGGGTGAATCGTACGTTGATAGAAACCCATTTTGTTGCCACAGAGTAGGATGATGACACATGTTCATTGTAGAAAGATGATCATGATGAATGAAACTCTGGGTATTAGGTTGAATTGGGTCAGCAAGACCTTCTAGTTCTTTCCTCAATCGAGAGTCTGATGGACATATGTTTGGCCACCCTCGCAGCCCGGGTTGATTGTACGTTTCGTTGTATTCTGATTCGGGTAGATCTAGAAATGAAGTTGGCGCATGTAGTGTTAGAGAGTTAACATTTCAAAGAATGCATGTGAGAAGAATGTACATTTTGATTGAGAAGCAAGTTGGACGTGTCGTTGATGATTTTTGGCTGAAACGGCTACAGCTGTTTTTCGAGGTAGGGTGAAGATGTGAAAGAAATGCGAAGATATCAATACTTGTCCTTAGAACCAACACCGCAAGAAGATGATAAATGCTTACTTGGTATATCATGAATAGAGATAGGTAAATCAACATCAGGTAAGAGATGAACAATATCTTGTAACAAGTTGACGAGTTCTCTTGGTCTTGGACCATTTTGAGCTTGAAAACCAGAGAGAGTGAAATGACCAGATCTGATCGAGATCACAAAGGTATCCTGCAATCATTAAGAGAGACAAAAATCACCATTGTTAGCAGTAGATAAATGAGAGAGAGAGAGTTCAAGTAAATCATACATTACTCCATTTGGTCCGAGAGTTTGTTAAGTCATCAACTCTTTGACGAAAGAGACTAGCTGGTAAAGCAAAGAAAGGTTCGATGGATCGATTAATAGAGTCATATTCATCTAAAAGTTTTACATTCTTATCATTTGACCAATTCCACCATTCATCAAATCCACGAGGTGGTGATCGATGATATCTTCTTTTGTATTCTTCTGTAGCAGATCTCAAGTTGGTAGATTGATTCTTGAGTTTGTTTTCCCATAAAAGAGTTGCGTTTCTGATTAATGAGAAGATAGGATGATCGATCGATGGTTTCTTTGACTCTTTTTTCGATTTTTGATAGTTTGTATTCGAGGTTGAATCTGAGTTAGGTTGATCGAGTAGGTAGAGTAGACCATTTGAAGAGGTATGAGTATTGGTGATAAGAAGAGGTGGTGATGTTGTTGATGATGATAATGTTATTGAAGGTGTTTTTGATTTTTGATGATTTCTTATTGTTTTGATTGGTTCGTTGATGATGGAATGATGAAAGTAATAATAATAAGTGAGGACGATGATGATGCTGGTGGCAGTTAAGATGTAAGTTAAATTAGTAAACCGACGAAGGTTCAGGAAACTCGTTAACTTTCTCATTTTCTTCTCTCTTTGGCTGCTTTGGTTAAGAAGAATCTTGTATTAAGCGATTTACTCAATTACAGCGCACTCAAGCCGGCAGAATAACCAAGAAGAAATCAGAAAAACGCGAAAATCTCAAACACCGCATCCATACAGTCTCACTTCCGATCAACACCTATCAAGACTTGTGCCGATTCTTTAGTTCAAACTACTTCTTATGGAATAACTCAATCCGGCTAAGTCAAAATCACTCTCCATATAGAGTTGAACTCGATGAGTTCCTGTTCCCATTCCACACTCCCAAAATCTACAAAGGAATCTGTACACCACGGAAGGGTTCTGAGCAAACCTAGCAAAGTTCCTCGCCAAAGGTCCGAGGCTTCTATCGGAATAGCGCGATCCTTCATTAATTCCTTCAAATGTTCTTGAAATTTGATCAACCCCGCATGGCGCTAGTGGGTACAAATTGTCCAAGATCCAGAAAGCTGCTTATGTCGCCGTGCTTGAAGTACTTTCACCGTTCACCATGTATGATGAAAGTTTTACCTATAATCATGACACCGTACCAGTCCAGTCCTATCCATATCGTATACAAGAGAGGACAGACATTGGCAATGTCACAGGATCTTAGAGTTCTTCAAGGCTTCGGAGGGAAATCTCGACAATCAAAGGACCTTTTTCCATAATTGACCGAGTTTAAATATGACACTACACCCTACATTCTCCACTAGCAAAGGATCCATTCAACTTGGAAGCTGATTGAGTATAAAATCTCGTTGACCAACCCAATGTCATATTGAAAATCACCTCACTCGAAAGGAGGACTTTGCACTCAGAAGGACACGGGCACAATAGCTAGAATAATAACTGGAAGATGCAGAATTTATCATATAGAACTTGAAGTTGATAAGGTAGAAAGACTAGATTGGAAGGGGTATACATCAGTCATGGACGAATTGTCTGATGAATGATTTAGATATTATCAAGCAATTGATTGTTCGAAAATGAAACCAGTTGATACTGTTTGAGATACAACTTGATGTCTTTTTGAGGAAATACAATTCCTAATAATCGAGTAAAAAGACAGTCCGATATATCCTGGTTTCCTTTCTTTTCTTTCAATTAATGTTTTCAAGTGATGTTGTTAGTTTTGTTTGTATGAATGTGAATAACTCACAAAGTGAATACTTATTTGAAGATTGGTAAAGAGAGACCGTGACTTAGTGGTGAGAGTCTTCAAATGACGTCGTTTTATGCTTTCCGTCCCGGATTAACCGTCTCTTTGAAATTGAAAGGTTTTCTAGTTTCAATCAACTCTCAACTCTTGTGATCTTTTCATTCAATTCCCTTACTTCATCCTTCCTTCATAAACTCTTGTTTTGATCAAATCGAACCGAAAGATGTCTACTCCCGCATCCCTATCATTAAAATCGCTCATCGAGCTGAATTCAGGTTCAGTACTTCATTCTTTACCGCATCAGATTGGCTTGATGACAATTGTAAATCACTTATCTGTTAATTGGTATCATGATGGTTTTTAGGGAAATCGATGCCAATGCTAGGACTTGGTGTCTATAAATCTGGTGATGCCAAGGCTTCTTGTAAAACTGCTTTTGAAGGCGGTTATCGCCATATTGATTCAGCTAGAATGTACCATAATGAAGCTGATGTGATCGAAGCAGCCAAGTCATCGTAAGCTGAACCAACACAGTAGATCAAATGTCATCCTAAGAATCTGACTTGGTGTCTGTTAATCATCACATTTTTTTTCAGTCGAATCGAACGTTCAGAGTTATTTCTAACAACAAAAATCCTCGGTCGAGATCACGGTTATGAGAAATGCAGCAAAGCGATTCAAGATTCTATTGAATCTTCCAAAGCAGATTATTGGGACTTGATTTTGCTTCATGACCCAACCAGCGGAAGTCAAAAGCGTTTAGAGGCATACCGGGCTCTTGGTACGTACATATTCCAGTGAGATATTTAACGCTTTGTGATTGACCTCCAAGGTGTACTTTCAACTTTCTCTGGTCTGAAGCTGAAGCTCAAAAGGGTGGACTTGTAAAATCGATCGGGGTATCGAATTTCGGAGTGGCTCACTTACGCGAACTAGAGGCTTCCAACAAAGGACCCACACCAGCCATCAACCAGGTTTGCATAGTTTACCTCGTTACTGAAATTGCTACATGTTCTGATGGTCGAGTTGTTCTATAGGTCGAGTTACATCCTTGGTGCCAGCAAAAAGAAATTGTCGACTACTGTCGTTCAAAAAACATTGTTATTCAAGCGTATTGTCCGCTAGTCAGAGGGGAGAAAATGACAGATTCCACTTTGACCAAGATCGCCGAGAGGGTAAGTTTTACAACCTATGACTTAATAAAGATTGATCAAGATATACACACTCATCCTAACCAATATGATCACTTTTTATTCAGCTTAAAAAAACTCCAGCTCAAGTTTTGATCCGATGGTCACTTCAGCACGGCTTTGTGCCGTTGCCAAAATCTGATAAATCTCATCGAATAATTGAAAACTCTGAAGTCTTTGACTTTGAACTAGATGCGGAAGCTATGGATCAGCTTGATTCACTTGATCAAGGTGACAAAGGTGCAATCAGTTGGAACCCAATATATGTGGACTGATCGAATTGATCAGTGGATGGGTGGTATTGATGACAGTTTCAAGGGAGAATATCTTGCACAATTATATTCATCTATCTAATCATCGCATCTATATTGTTAATATTTAACTTGAAAATGAGCCACAACAAAAACAGTGTTACTACAGACTCGTCCAAAGTTTACCATACCTGGAGAGGGATGTTGTAAATGACCGTTCATAGACAAGGTGAAACTTGGCTACCAAAATAGAAAATTAGAATGTCCATCAACCTTGAGACTTGGAGAACATTGTACTTGACAATCATCTGACACAAAAATGTGCACATGTTTAAGAAGCTTCTTGGGAAATTCTACAACCTCTTATTGGAAGTAGAAAGTACAAGAAGAATTGCAGTTGAATTCCAGAGACAGGTAATTTCAAAAGAGAACATCATAGGTCAGATATATCACTCATAAGAAATATGAGACATTCAATCCGAGTCATGCTTCCACCCATGTAGGGTTGAAAGATCAACACGCTTGATAGCAGGTATGGAATCTAACTTGTCCGGTCTCCATCTACGTCAAAGAACGATCTCATCAGCATACATTGAGTAGTGAATCCCTCGAAAGAAGATATCTGAACTGATAAAATAGAACAAAGGTAACTGACCTCCATGCTGATTTGTGTTCTTCACTCAAATTACCCTCTAGCATATCAGCAACATACTTGCCTACATTTGGTAAATTCTTAAACGAATGACCGCTACCACCCGTGGCAACATATAGTCGATTAGGTGAAGATGGATGAGAATCAATGATCCATCCAAAGTCAAATGACCTACAAAAATACATCAAATATCATTCCTCAAAAGTTTAAATAAATGCAAGAAGGAGTCGAAATCGGGTGCAGGTAGAGAAGGTAAACACAGGCAGTAAACTCACTCAGTGTCCCAGAGCATCTTGGTTTGGAGAAACTCTCGTTCACTAAATTGTGGCATACAATACTTGATGAAATCTCTGACTTCCTTGATGTCTTCTTCTGGTAGACTATCTGATTCGTGGTACGCTGCATCTCGTGGAATAGAAACTGGATTAGACCTTCCTTGCACAGTCCTCATCCATGGATGGCCTGGTGGTTCGATTGAATCAAAATCAGTTTCGTTAGCTAATTAGTTTGATGCATAAAGCGTTCATCAACTTACCTACGTGCAAGTCGCAAAACTTGAGACGACCATCTGCGTCAGGTGGAAAGGTGTAACCTAAAGCCTCTACCACTGTGATCACAGACAGATATAGAGATATGTTTGGCTAAAGATACTCAGGGTCTAGATGAGGAGAGCTCGGATTGCCTACAGATGACAGGCATATTGCGATACTCCTCTTGTTCTTCCGGGGTCAGTTGGATATGAGTTGTGCTGTAGGCCACCTACAAAGGGGTTTGTTTGGAGAGATGAGTTCAAATCCATCCACCATTTATCGACGAGAGGTCATGCTAGAAACTCACCGCGGTTAGTTGTCCCTCCATATCAAGTAAAGTATCCGTGTAAGCTCCAAGACAGCAAATGATCTTATCAGCCTTGAAAACCGTTCCATCCTCAGTCTTCACACCAATCACTTCACTTTCCAGATTATCCTCCGTAGCTCTAACCAAGGAAACCGCCGTGCCTTTAGGACCAGTGACAAATTTCACTCCACTAGCCTCACAGAGCTTTCCAACTGTTTCTAAAGCTTTTGCAGCATCAACCCAACCAGCGTTTGAATCTAATACGCCTCTAAATCCAGGAGTATTAGCAAAATATTTAGGAAACCGGTCATGTAAATCAGAAGGAGTATGAAGCAGAGTTAAATGCTCTGGTTTACTGTAAAGTTGTAAGGTTTGAAGAAGTCTGTCAAAAGCGCCAACAGCACTGATAGAAGTATCTTCTGATTGATCTTTCTCTTTTGATGGTGCTGGTTTCGCATCACTAGTACCAGCGACCCAACCTGAGAGATTGATTACATCTTTAAAGATTGGAGTTTTCCATTCTTCGAGTGCCTCTTGAGCCAACTTCACGTACATAGGGTCGGCATAAGCAGTGCGAACGATCTGATTTGACAGTACTCATCACAGAAGTGTTTATCAGGTATAGACGTAGGGTTCTTTGATCAGGCTTCCATTTTCGATAGTCGGCATATGTATGACTCAAAATCAGACTCACTTTATTACGATCATAACCAGCAGAAGATTTGCTGGGGAATGGCCATCGATCTAAACAAACAATTTGATTATATCCTCGCTTGGAAAGATGCCAAGCGGTAGAAAGTCCAAAGGTACCACATCCACCTATAATAAGGATCGATTTAGATTTGTCGTTCGTCATGATATTCAAAAAAAACTATGTATTGTAACGTGAGTTGGCTCTGTGAAATGCTGAGTCTCGTTGAAGATTGAAATTTTGTAAAACAAGTTAACACTGAACTTCAGGAATCAGGATCTAGAGGGCATACAATCGTTCAAGATTTGGCCATAAGTCCGAAGAAAATCGCAACTTTCCCCGCTGCACCGAAACTTTATACGAGGTCTAAGATACGTAATTCAACCCAATTCAACCCCCACATTGACATTACGGAACTTTGTGAAAGATTTCTCTCGATGAAGGCTTGCGTCGTAGATATGTACCATCCTCTGATAAGACGGAACCATCCCGAGAATTCTACGATGCGCGTTTTATAGCTGCATGAGATGTAGCTTCAAAGCAGGTGTCGCGTTGACTTATGAGTTGGTTTCACTACTTCAGAACTCAGACAACACTCACCAGATTGTTCAATCCCACTGGGTTCGGAGGATTCCAAGTGATTGGGTCAATAGATAGTCCTCCGAGACAACTCTCCATAACCTTACACGTTACTTGTGAAGCTGACCAGGTTCGGAGGATTCCAAGTCATTAAATTGGGTCAATAGTCGTCCGAGACACTTCTCTTCAAATTACATGGCACTTACACCGTGAGCAAAAGCCACGGTTGCGACAGTTGGTCGCTGCATTGGCCCAGTCAATCGCATCAATCTGAACCGAATTCATCGATCAATAGGGGGTTTCAAGTTCATTTTTTTTGCGTGAAATTTATATCAATTCGGACTATCTTTTTACAACAACGTAAATTTATAAACTTGACCGTTTGTTTATAAAACGGTTTGTGATCATAAATCAATTTGCAACGTTTGATACCCGATCCTTAAAAATCATCAAATAAACCGATCATTCCCGTTTGAATGATAACGAATCTTCTCCCTTCGATCATCTTTCACTTTAACCATGGTTCGGACCTCGCAACGAACTGAAACTTTACAAACCGTTAGTCAACTCTGTGATATAGCCAGAATGGATCAAGATGATCAATTTTGGGAAGAAGCCATCCTTGGTGAACCACTCTTTCCAACTTTTGGAAACTTACTATTTGAAGACGATGAAGAATTGAGTGTCATGACCGACTTCCTATTCAATGATGTTGATGATTGTGAAGATCTGTTGGAAATTCTGGAAAATCTTCGCTATCACGATGAACGGTGGAAGATGCCATTTGAGATGGATTTCAGCTTGAATGACCTTCTTCGCGATTGAGAGGTCGAGTTTCGACAGTCAATGAGAACATCTCACGCTGGATTTTACGCTCTTCTAGAAATCATACAAGGACACGAGATCTTCCTATCTACAAGCCCAAACCCACAGCCACCTGTGGTCATCCAACTCGCTCTCACTCTTGAGCGCCTTGGAAGCAATGGTAATGCGTGCTCTGTCCGCCGTCTGGGGAGAGATTACAAGAGGTCAATGGGAGCGATTGTCAACTGTACTCGACAAGTTCTCACTGCGATCGATGAGCTATGTAGTCATTACATACAGTGGCCTGGCGAGCAGAGAAGAGATGAGATTTCAACTGTCATGGCTCTTGAAGGCTTCCCAGGATGTGTTGGTTTTGTCGATGGAACAACCATTCCATTATATCAGCGACCCGGATTTGATGGAGAAACCTTTTTTGATCAAAAGAAAAGGTACTCACTCAATGTTCAATTTGTATGTGACTGTGATGGTCGAATCACTTGTCTTTACGGTGGATGGCCGGGCTCATGTCACGATCAAAAAGTCTTTTCAATGATGACTTTGTCTAAGGATCCAGATGAGTGGTTTGCTAGAGGTTAGTATCCCTTCTTTTCAATCAAGAAGAACAATTGAATCCAGCTGACAAAAGTCCTCAATCTTATTTACTTTCAGATCAGTACCTAATGGCGGACTCAGCATACAAACTCACCAATACTGTTGTTTCTACCTACAAGGGAGCAGCATCACGACTCGAACGAAACTGTCTGTTCAACACCTACATTGCGATGGCCCGAGTTTGAAATGAGCATGGTATTGGTATTTGGAAAGGAAGATGGGCATCTCTTCAATGCTTACGTCTAAGACTTGATGAAGACTATCACATGGAGTGGATTTTACAGTGGATCAAAGTATGTGGGATCCTACATAATATGCTGGCGGACCTAGGGGATCAATGGGAGGATGAGTTCATAGAGGATTTCATGGAAGCTAGATATGAAGGAGCCTCTGGACTTGGATTGAATCCAATGGATTATGATCCAACTGACCCTATTGGCCAGCTTTGAAGAGAGCTTGTGAGAGATCATGTGGTTGCATTCAATGAGATTTAAAAAAATAGAATTTTGTTTCTCTTCAAAAAATAAATGTCGGCTTGGAACCTTAGCAAGTCTTCTTTTGCATCAGTCTTGCCTCTCTCTCCGTATTCTCTTTTCCTCAATTGTATCTGTGATTTGCGCTTCTTTTTCATAGGTTCCTGTAATGCAAAAAATAAAAAATGTTTGTTAAAAAAAAGAAGTATGCTGCTGCTTGGAGAAAATGGCAAAAGAGGGAGGAATCAAAATGCAAATATCGGTGAATGAGAAGAGTGACATGGGATTGAAAACTGTCAAAAGAATTGGGGCATACTTCAAGTTTCACACAGACTATCGATGATACACTACAAGAAAGATAATATTTTCTGGGCAGAAAATTAAATTATTGATACACAAAAATATTGAGAGGCCAGGAGGAGAGCAAAAAAAGAAAAAAAAATGCATCTTGTTCCCCGCGTTGAGAACTTCACTGTGCATATTTTTCCGTATTTTTACAGTCCATATTGATAAGTGTACTAACAATAAACCTCCACAATCATCCAATCACAACCTGTAACAAGCACTGAAATTTGGCTCATTAGTGTTTAGAGAAACTTTTGATTTCTGAAAATACTCATAACTTTTTCAATTCCGGTCCAAAACGCTCGATTTTGGGTGCATTGGTAAGCTGGAATTGTCCTCCAAATAGCTCATAATAGGACCACACAGCATGCTGGTCTGCTAAAAAAGATATCACCTTTTTTATACCTTTGTACATACAGATCCATAGAATGATTGGCATACTAGCTACATAGTTCTTGATCTTATGAAAGTTCGAGAGAAAGAGTTCAGCTTTCTAATGCACTTAAAATCGAGTGTTTTGATGCAGATTTGACAAAGTTATAGGTGTTTTCAGGTATCAAAAGTTTCTCTAAACACTAATGAGCCAAATTTCAGTGCTTGTTACAGGTTGTAATTGGATGATTATGAAGGTTTATTGTTAGTACACTAATCAATACGGACTGTAAAAATATGGAAAAATATGGAGAGTGAAGCTCTCACCGCAGGGAACAAGATGCATATTTTTATTTATTTTTTGCCCTTCTCCTGGCCTCTCAATATTTTTGTGTATCAATAATTTAATTTTCTGCCCAGAAAATATTATATTTTGTGTAGTGATACCCTAGAGCTTTTGACAACTGATGTGGTCTGAGACAAGCCCTAGGGCTCCAGTTTTCCTTTCAGGTCAAATGCTCCAAGCCTGGGACTCGAACCCAGGTCACATTCTTCTTAGTCACACTGCAGGAAATCCGCTGGCGTGAGCCTGGCTTGCGCCACCGTGACGTGAGCCACGGGCTGGCCCCGGTCTGAAGCCAGCCAGAATTTACACCGACGCCTGACGTCAGCCATTGGTCTGTTGAAGACAGCCTTGACGACTGCCACTCATCTGTTTGCATACACTTTTTGATCCTTGTCTTCATCACTTTCTATGCCACCTAACAACCTTGGCTCCTGGACCCCATTCAATTTTTCCAACTATCAAAACCTTTAAACCAGTACTCAGATTCACCAATCCGAACCGTTTCAAAACTCGATGCCTAAATCTAAATACATAACTGAATCCGAGTCATGGGTCACCTTCAAGGTATCTCACAAGCTCCTGAACCACATCCATCTCTTCAAGATTCAATGCCTGTGCCTAGAAAACCACCTTGGGATTGTGAATCAAATTCTTAGGAAATCCCAAAACCTTCTCAACCACATCTGTTTTTTCAAAATACAATGCCGGCAATAAGATTCACTGACCGGAGCCTGGGATCGATTTCAGATGGTTTGAATGTCTCACAATCAACTTATTCTCATCAACTTACTCAAAACTTACCATCAGCACCATTATCATTACCTAAATTCTCTGAATCAAGCTTAGAAGATTTCTTTCAACCTAGGCTTAAATCAACACTTGGTAACTCTGCTCAAGTTGATAAAGATCAAGAAAAAGAAATCAATGGATTTCTTTAATGATGAAGAGAGTGTCAATGATCAATTGCATTTAGAAATTTTAGTGAATTCTTCAAGACAACTGGATGAATGATTGAATGAGATAAAATGCAAAGTAATATTCATTCTGTAATTCATGTATTTGATTGACTGAATGTTCACTTCTCGAGGCTCTTTCTTGACTTTATCAGTCTTTATCAATGAGCTGTGTACGGATGTGTCGTCTTTCATCATTCTAGCGCGCATCAATAAGTACAGTGAGATTCAGATATGATAATATCATTCAATGGATTGAGATCGTTTGAAATCAAAATCGATTACTTACATACTTCGTTTTTCACATCCAGGCAGGTTTTAAATTTGATTCCGAGATACTTTGGACTGCTTGTATGTTCAGATTGGTTTTAAAAGGATTTTGTTAAATCAAGAGGTAAAGCAAGAGATAAATCGGTGATTTGAGATACATGAACCATTGACTATTTTTGCTCCGTTATATTTTGGATTTTGGATATAGCAAATCAATCAATTCTTTATAGTATGTATCTCATATTTTTTAAATGTAGGATCTGATTGATTCAAGCTTTTTTCAAATTATGTATTAGATTTCTCTTTCAATGATGTCTAGGATCTGTGAGTTACTACGGATTTTGCAAAGCAAAAAAACAACTGTGCACTAGAGAGACTCAAAACACATGTTTTTGTAATAAAAGGAGAGCGATTCATATTGAGGGGTTCAGTAGCTTGATTGGATGAGCAGAGGAGGTGGCAGAGGATTGTATGAATCTGTCGTTGATGGCGTACGTCAACCAGCTGGATGTCTTCAACAAACCAATGGCTTACGTCAGACGTTTGTGTGAACGCTGGTTGGCTTCAGACCGGGGCCAGCCCGTGGCTCACGTCACGGTGGCGCGAGCCAGGCTCACGCCAGCGAATTTCCCGCAGTGTCATGAGCCTATACCACTAGACTATGACCGATTAAAGTGACTGACCTAATAGGCAATCATCAAAGCACCCTTTCTGAGAGACATCTCCTGATCATTACTTTCACAACTTAGTAGACTTACCTAAAAAATCATAAAAATATGAAATAAGAATGAAACTGATAAATGTACTATACTACAACTAAAAGAATTTATTAAATCATAAAAATAAGATGAAACCAAAAAGATCTCATAGGCCAAAGAGTGAAATGAGCAGAAGAACTTGTAGGAGGTACAAAAATATATTCTTATGTATTTATAAATAATCAGAAAAACTACAAATGATTGAAATTCAAAGTTGAAATGTATAATATATGTTTTTTGTTTGATGTGAAACTTGAAATCAATATTTAGGGAATTCAATGATAGTTAAGTGATAAAAAAATATTGATCAATAAGAAAGTAATTTACTTAGCAAACATGAGATCCAAGTAGTCTTTGATAGCAGCAGGAGACATATTCTTTTCATGACATGATTCCATAACCTCTTGACGAATCTTGATTCTTTCTGTTTCTACACGAGCTTCCTCAGCTTTCATCAATAGATTATTCTCTAATGTAAACTTCTCGCGCTGCCATGCTATATCTTTATCGGCCTTTTCAGCTTCCATTGTAGCTTTTGATGTTTGATGTAATTGTAATGAAAGAGCTTTGCTTTTGAATTTTTCTTTCTCCCAGATCAAATTTTTTTCACCCAAAGAGTTTTCAGCTTTGTCCTTTTTTAATTCACGCGCCTCTTTGACATCAAGCCTGCTTGATTCACGTTTCTCCCGGGCTTCAGCTTTGCGATCTAAAAATGAAAATCGTTCTTCATCTCGATTACCAATGATAGTAGCAGCTGGATTCTTACGTCGAGGTCGGCTATCATCAATAGGAGCCAATGGTTTCATTGGTCGATTAGCAATGGCATCAGTGCATGCCTTACATTTCTTAGTTGCCTTAACAGCCTGCTTAATTGATGGAATGTTTTTTTTCTCTGGAGGAAGTGGTGATGGAGAGCGAGTATCAGATAGAGGATGGAAATCATCGGAGTGGTGAGAAGACGGGATTGAAGCAATAGGAGAAGCGTGATGTGAAGCAATTGGAGAAGTGTGATGTGAAGCAAAATCATTGATGATTTGATCAAGCTCTGAAGTCAAGGGAGAGAGTAATCGGTTGTAGGTATCCTTGGGACTGTTGTGTACAGAAGGGAAAGGGGTTGGATTGGCAGTGTTGTTGGTTGGACCTTTGTTCATTGAATGAATTAAACCTTTGTTATCGTCCAGATGGGGATTGATTACATTATCCATGTCGTTTTCTGAAGGCTGAGAGACCGGCTTGGAATGTTTTGGTGTCATTGTTTCAAAAGTGGCGGGTGGTGCAATATTTGCTTTGTTTCCATAGATATCATCGATCGTTTTGAATTGTGGGCACATCAATTCTTGCTTCTTTCTTAATAATACCAACCCTGCCTGCTGTTCTTGCTCTGTTGTACCAGTACCAGTTGATATCAAATAACGTCTTGCTGTTGTGTATCTCTCTTTGATACGCGTCCATCGCTTCTTGAGCTCAACTCCAGTTAAATCCATCCTGTCAGAACAGTTGGTTGTTGACTTCCGATTCTTCTGGTTGTGATGGACATTCATGAAAGTCGCAATCATGTCCCAAGCACCTGATCGACCCATTCCATCCACTGCAGTTGAGCTACCTGAGCCAAACAGTGCATTGTGATTTTCTTCCTGACCAATCATATCGAGTAGGTATGCAAGATCATCGTCATCAAATCGTGGGCTGATGTTTAAGGTTTCATTAGGATTGGCTGGAATCGTTTGTTTGGTCGGTTTAGTTGAGTTGGAGGTGGAAGGGCCTGATTTTGGCACAATCGAAGTCGGATTTAAAGCAGAAGCAGGCTGTCTTTTGGCTGGTGTGGCTCTTGCTCTAGGAGTTGGTTTTGAACTGGAGGGGGCTGAATATAAGGATGGTAAGTTTTGATTGGACATAGGTGGGTTATTGGGTTGGGTCGAGGCATCTTGGGTTTGTTCCTTTGATAGTCGGCTTTGTTCCTTTGATAGTCGGCTTTGTTCCTTTGATAGTCGGCTTTGTTCCTTTGATAGTCGGCTTTGTTCCTTTGATAGTCGGATTTGAGACTGAGATGGCTTTGAGCCCGGTGGAAGCCCACAGTCTATAGCTATTTGCTCCTTTGAACGCCTGACCATGATTCTGAAAGAGGAGACATCAGAAACATAAACTTAGAAATAATGAAAAGAATAAATAAACATACCATCAATAGAAACAATTTGATAACCCAATTCAAAAGCAAAGAAGAAATAAAAGAAAAAGATAAAGAAACGAGGTGGAGGAAATGACTTTGATTGATCGTGATTGATTTTGATTTTGATTTCAATGAATTTTGATTGATTTCGATAAAATTTGGGAAGGATATATCAAAGAATGGATGGTGGTTGGGTGATTTGAGATGGTCATTGATGTGTAGTGTGCGGTTTCCCCAAATCCGATGGGAAGGGACCTCAAAAGGTCCGGATAGTTGTTTATGAGCGTTACAAATACATATTTATTACGTATTTATAAAACGGGATGCCTAAAAAGGTGTCCCGATTTAAAAATATATACGTAAATTTTTACAAAATCATCCAAGTTTCCAAAACGTAAAAACACGCAAAACAATGAACTTGAAACCCCCTAATATCTTTTCATTCTATTTTGTTGCTGCCCTACTACAACTCAGTGAAGAGCCGCTACGCGAAAACAATGTCAACAGAGTTTCATAGACATTGGGTGTCTGTCAATACCAAAAACAGACATGTTTGAACATATATACTCATATATAGCCAGCTGTGCCCCTGATTTTACTGTGAGATCTGGATGACGGACCAACTTTTTCATTCTTACAAACGAAGCGATGCTGGTTATGTGACTGAGATTGGAGCCGTTTACATGATATGATACTTGTGTTCATACAGATAGTATCAAGATAACAAATAAATAGTTGATAAGAATATTGAACAAATGAAACAACTCATTGCAAAGCAGCAAATGGCCAATGGGTACCCAAGTTGAACGTATATCCTGCGCTCAAATCATATCCGGATCTCGATCTCCATAATCCCCTCTCATACGCATCACAGAACCTCAGCAGACACATGTCAGCTGATTGAAGGAGATACATAAGCAAGATATCTATACTTTTAGAGAGGTTCCGGTTGGACATCATCAGATAATGCCATCATTGCCGGAATGATATGAAGTCACGAAGAAAACTCGACTTAGCTTTTTCATTGCTTTTGTGTATCCCCTGACATAGCTCCACCTGATGTAACAGGTTTAAGATTGGGTGGTAGTACTTGCACTACAGGTTGCCTCTGTATCTCTGATTTTGGGTTTGATCAAACTGCGACACAGCTGATTCATCGCCGGCACAATTGTATTCATCCCAGATAAAGCAATTGGTGACTGAGGCATGCGGAGAATTTTGTTTTACAGTGAATTGGAATTCACTTATGGCAAGTTCCAACAATGGTTGTCTATACTTCCAACACACCAATAGTTGCAGGCTATGTATTTAAGATTTCTGACCTGCTCTGAAAATGACTGGATCCATGACCTGTCAGATATGGCTTCTATGATGAGTTGTGAGGAGAACCAACAATATAAAAGAGCCCATTTTGCTTGATTTCAAGGGTCTGGTAGCCCAGGCTTGTTATTGACTTTCTTTCAAGACTCTGATATCAAAGATTGCACTCCATCTCTATTTCTGCTTCACTCAGTATGCATTCAATCCTTCTGTTGACTGCACTCCTCTGTGCACTACCCTTTGCCTTGGGATCACCAGGTGAGCGCTGATCTACAAATCCAGTCTCTTTATCTGCTCTACACAAGCTGTTTAGTATCTTACTTGTGTTGGTTATACATTGATACTCCCAACTGTTTACCATTGCGTTGATAATGGATGTAGTGAACCCGTTTAATAAAGCTCGTGGGTTCTGATTCTGTATGCATGGATACTGATTCAACCAAAGATTGTATGCTGAACCTTTGAATTCCAAAAAAGAGAGTGATGTTGGTAGAAAACTTGAACAATACCTAGAGGGACGGCCTGCAAAAGTGCCGTTCAGTGATCTCTTTGAGCCCAAGCCTAAAATCTATTACAATGGAAATGAAATGGAATTCTCAGGTTAGTGATTGATCAAAAGCAGACTTGGTATTCCCTCTCACATGCTAATAACCTCAACTACCAGACTTTCATCACCACACTTTGGAAATGCGCTACAAGCCACGAACCGAGAAGGAGGAAGACCCAGGTATGTGACAATCAAATTTACAAGAACATTCAAAGTCATCTCACATTTACCAATTTAATACCTACCTTTTTTAAAAATCAGAACTGTGGCCGGATGACAACGAAATGATCAATCCACCCAATTCATACACACATTTTTGGCAATGGAAACATAATGTTGACGGTCAGACAAAGTATGGGACTGGCAAAGCAAAAATGTTGTCAGGCAGGCTAATCTTTGACACAGTAGCACTTGTTGATACTCAAGCTTATAAAAAGTAAAGTAGCTCCTAACCTCGCCAAACAACCGTACCCTGTTTCCTGGAGTACTTTTCACCACCATACACGTTTACAAATATCTACTGTAAAAACATCCACTAGTACCTTTTCTGCTGAAGAAACAACACTACCAACATAAAGTAATATTCACATTGGAATAGTGATCAACACCACCGGCGCTCCGCCCGAGATAGCGGCAGCGGAGCGGTAGCACAGCGCGCGCTCGCTGTTTTCCCATATAGCGGGTTTTGGGCTTCACTATAGCTACAGTGAAACCCAAAAATTTATAGCGGTTTTGTTGACCACCCTGTATAGCGGTATTCCGCTGCGCTACGGGCCGCCAGAGTGACCCCGAGCGCATAGCAACAGGGAGCCACAGAGCGCCCTGTAGCACCTCGTCAGCAACGATCATATCAATGTCATCTGAAGAATCACTCACATTCTTATTGTTTTTTAATCAGCCTGTTAAAGATTAAGTTTGTGATGAGGTTCATCATACCACTGTTGCTCCTACTGTAAGTTACTGGTCTTTATCTAGGATGGCCTAACATTGAACTCATATCAACTTTCTTTTTGATTTTCTTCAGACCGTCACCAATTAAATTCAGCTACCGCAGAAGATGATGTGATTCCACCTGCAGAAGAGGAAAACATCGGAGTCGTAGATCGAGGTGTTTCAGTGTTGCTTGAGGTGAGAATTGTATCAGATGTCCCAGAAGGATCTGTAAGAGTCATCTGAGGTGTAGATACGATACTAGCATCAGGCTTAGAGGCTTGTGTCGAGTCAGTGCTAGTGGTGTCTAGGGATGATGACGGAAGTTGACGAGCTGGAGGTAAGAAAGCTCCATTGATGTCACCGATTCCTATAAAGAAGTTGTCAAAGGAATGTAATCATATTGGCTAAATTCTGAGAAGCTACGCCACTTATTCAAATTTCATGAAGAACAGCTAAGGAAGCATATAGCTTTGTTTTATCCAAGTTTTTGATAGCATTGTAGCACATAGCTGCAGCTAAATAAAGGTCGGCCATGTAAATCTCCAATCGCTCCTATGAGATAAAAAGACAAGATAGAACCAGTAAGGGTTGTTAAGTCAGTTGGTCGTTGGTCAAGAGATAGATGAACAAGTGCAAACCAGCTTATAGAGCTCCAGTAAATCTTCAGCCCTACTCGTGTAAGTGTTAGCATTAGATGTTGATGACCAGTCAATCAATTCATCAAGAAGTTTCTTAAGTTGCTTTAATCAAGAGTCAGAGAATTTGATCAAATTTTCTGGTAAAGAGCAAACTGAGCATTGACATTCAAAGCCATAATGTTCACGAAGGTGAGCGCGTTGAGTTTCTGTTGGCTGTCGTATGTTCAGATCTAAGCGGTTTAAATATAACTTCATTCAACCAAGTGCAACGTTTAGCAAATGGTCCATTTCGCGAGCCTCTGAACTTACACATTGTGACGAGCTCCTGACCTACCTCTATCTCGCGAACAGCATACATATTCAACTTCAAGGTGGTTTGATCAGTGTGATAGATTGTATTGGAGCAACAGTCATGATTTGCCCGTCTTGCACAATTCATTCTCATGAGTGTGCACTTTCATACTCAAGACTAGAAAGTCATGACTTACAAGGCGTCCAAGAAGAGAGCCATGTAGGGCTCATCTTCTAACGTGAGCGCAAAGCTATTTTGCCAAATCACCGACATCATCCAAAATACTTCAGTTTCACCTTCACCAGGTAAGGTAGCAATTTCAGGTCTAGTTTCTAGTGGTCAATAATGAATGATTTACATGGTAAATACGACCAATACTAGGGCTGTATGTCCAGCTATTCCCAGACATCACCGCAATCATCAATGATGACTATCATACTGGTATTGACAGGAAAAAGTCTGGTCAGAGATTTTTGCATCATAGCTTTCATCCAATGATGCAAAAGAGTCAGATGGGATGTTGAATTGGATGCCAATCAAACACAACTACTCACTTCCACTTTCATCTCGACTTAGTACCCTACTGCCAAACAGTTCACTTGTGGGATCAATGATACAACAAGTCTGATGAATTTTTCACTTTTCATAACATTCAAATCCCTTTCAATTCTTTTTTCTATCGTATTCTAAATCCTTCAAAGTCTAATCACAATGCAGTCTTATCATACTTCACTTGAAGACCTTGTATCATTGCACATTTTTCCAAATCAATGCCCACGGAAAAAATCAAGTTTAATCGACCTGTAGTTTTTTATCCTTATACTTTAGAAATGATCACTTGTCCCTTTCTTCCGTTGACTATGATTTATGTGTAATCAAAGCTTTTGAGCGCTTTTGAACGTGAGATTTGCTCAAAGCGGAGCGGAGCAATTCAAAAGATCGCACCACTCTCATGAGTCATAGCGCCTTAAAAAAAGGCAATTGATAAACTACGCCGGCCAGAAACCAGGAGCGACGCCGGTTTTTCTTAGCTCGGACTCTGATGGAAGTTATACAGTGTGTATACAGAGGCACTTTGCCTCTAAACGGTGAGAGGTACCTGTAAGGGCTTCCGTAAGACTCTGAAGCCGGGTTTTGGGATTGAAAGTGGGCGTCATCCGTTCCAAATTGTTATAGGTTTCTTTGAGACTGATCACGGAAGATCTCAAGCTGTCCATGTTGGACCATAAAGTGAAAGGTACGCTCGAGAGCTCTCGAGCGTACGGGATGGCTATGTTTCCAGCTGACAATGATGGCTTTTGAGATAACACATCAAACCTTTCAATATCAGAAAAGCCGTGCATTGTAATCAAGGTCCCATAATGTGTACATAGATTCTGCTCTACAGCTTTCTCTTTTTCTCGTCTTTACTTCCCTTTCAATTGGAACCTTCAAAGAAATACCTCAATTCTTGCCCCAAGTCCTCTCTATCTATGGTGTTTATCAAAACAAATCATCGGATAGGCTTTTTTGCAAACAAACCCGAAGCTGATTGTGAGCAACCACCACAACTACACTCGGCTTCACATAGGGAAGTCGGTGTCAGAAAGGTTTTGACCGTCATTATAACATTCAGAATCCGGCTTCAGAATGTTTCTGAAGCCTTTACAGGCCGCTCCGACCTGTATAACTTCCATCAGAGTCCGAGCTAAGAAAAACCGGCGTCGCTCCTGGTTTCTGGCCGGCGTAGTTTATCAATCGCCTAAAAAAAATAGCGGCACGATTAGTGATTTCTCGTAGCGCTGAAACGCTCCGCTCGTGAAATTTCGAAATATAGCGGGGCGCCGGTGGTGTTGCCTTCACTATAAAAATCCATTGATCAATCAAAGTTCATGACTGAGATAAGTAAATGAAGAGTCTTTCTCAAAACAAACTAACTTATTGTGTTGAGTTTCAACAGCTGAACGTTTTTTAGCTCGAGCTTGTTGTTGATGAGAATGATCTAAAGAATGATCATTGATTTCATGACTGATTCCAGTTGAATTTTCTTCATCTCGATCAATTAAAAGAGGTAACAGGATCAACTAAATACTCATTGACTTCATCTTGGTCTACTTTTTCATATGCCTTAAAACCAAACCAAAACCATCAGTTTTGAACTTGTTTATTAGGGGGGAAATTTGAGAAGTGGTTTTTCTTACTTCTAACGATAAAAGCAATCCTTTTTTTGTTCTTGTTAATTTGATTTCTTTTTCCAATGAACTGATGACTTGATAATGTTCTCTATTGCCTTGATCTAACTGAATTGCTAATTCATCAATCTGATATTTCAAACCCAAATAAAATGGACAACTCGGATATTGATTAAATCATTCAACATCAAAGAGAGAGAGAGATAGAAGGAGATAGAGAAGGAGTGATGTAGTGCAATCATATTTACTTCATGCTCAGCCCTTAGTAATTCTTTTTGAATTGTGGTAGAAGTAGCTGTTATTGAGACAGTTTATTAAAATGATCTTGTGATAGTTGGTGTTGTTTTTGATTGATTGGATATAGGTTTGAATTAGTTGAACATTGTAATAATTCTCTTGGATTTCTGTAATGTTTTTGCGGTTGATATTTGTTTATGCATTGTTTTGTCCGTGTGGTCGATTGTTGACACTTTGAAAGTGGTTCTTCCTGGGGAATCACACCGCGGGAATTAACACGTTTGAAACCCGATTGAGCAGAATTTTGGTGTCCGGGTTCAAAATTTCCTCGAATCATGAAACTCGTTCACAACTCGTTAGCATTACGTTCGCTGATTTCCCTTGAGTAGACTACAATACATACACTTACACAGCACTTGCAAAACCTGTGATTCCAACCGTTTGACTACATATCTCACCGCTGATCATGTTCCCGCTGAACTGCTTTTTTTCGATTGATCGAGGCTTGAAGAATGAGGATGGAGGTGAGGAATGGTGAAAGGGGATGTTGCTGTATGATGTGACTGTACATACACGGGGCCAGCCGAGTACAGAGTACATCCCGAGGGGAATCGGCAAACATAATGCGAACGAGTTGTGAACAAGATTCACGATTCGAGGAAATTTTGAACCCGGACACCGAAATTCCTCTCAATTGGGTTTCAAACCAGTTGATTCCCGCGGTGTCAATGAAGATGAAAACAATCGAGATGGTCAAGGGGTTTTGTTTTGAAAGGAGACTTTTCGAAAAGCAGTAAATGCTTTCGGAATCAATAAAGGACTTTTGATGACTAATGGGAAGACATCCTTTGATTGCCGGATCTTGTGATAAACCGATTCAAATTGCTTTTTGATACACCACAATCAAAAGCAGAAAAATGTCAAAGTGCACGCAAAACATGAAGCTTCCGGGGGGGAAGACTATTCAGCATGAAGATAAACTGCTTTTTCCGACAGCATATGAAGCTTTTGAACCAAAGACAGCTTTTGGAAGCGCAGGACAAAATTTGAATCGAAGGGAGCTTTTGAATACGCAAAAGCCAAGATTAAGGCCAGCTGGAAGGTATAAATAGAGGGGCCTGAAGAAGTAAGGGTTGGGCATCGTTCAATGCTACCCATGGCTACACCTAGGTGGGTCGTAAGTGGGAAGCGGAGAGATCCCGGTCCGCACCCACCCAAATTGCTGAACCCATGCCGCTGTGACAGGGTTGGTGAATCCGGGGGGTGAATCCGGATTTAAGAATATTAATGTTCTTGATTCAAAATGCTTCGGGTTGATGCATCATTCTTCTGGGACATGATTGATAACAGTGTCAAACAACTTGAAAAAATAAAATCAGATGCAAGAGGCGAGATAATGAGATTCGGAAGTTTGTCAGTTTAAATATAAGAAATTCTTAACTTGCACTATAGAGCCCACAATATGGATCAAAAGTTTGCTTACATAATTATAAAGTAGATCAAAATCTGCATCCCAAGATCGATTCAAATCTGGATTATATGTAAATTTCTTCATGATGCAGTCAAATCGATCATTTGTATGATGATCGCCCAATCATTTAAAGATTTGTATCAAAGATGCGAGAATTTCTATCAATCATTGTAGGAGGTAAGAGTCATATTAGGATCTAAAATTCTTCTTTGACTTCGAAGATAATGCAAAAACAGATCATTTGTGAGAGTTCATGTCAGATATTTAGTTCGATCCTACTCTGTCCAATCTGTTTTGATCATTTTTGATTTTGTCCGATTTTGTTCAATCCGTTTTGATCAAATACAATCCAATCCAATTCGATTTGACTTGTGCAGTTGAATCCAGTTTGAACTTTTGAATTTGATTCTGATATTGAGATTAGCCTCAATCAAGTAAAACATGAATAAATCAGACTGTATATCAACAAAGCCTTTAAATCAATAGATGATATTTGAATGGTTCACCCATTATAAAGAATTTGGAAGTAAAAGGGTCAGCAACGTCTTCCAGGGTTTGATCAGTATTTGGACAGGATACTGTGTAGTATGGTAACAACGCACACCTTGATTAGAAGAAGTTCCAATGGAGGGTAAGGTGTCTTTGGATGATTGATTTTTTGAAGTTGACACTACACAAAATGTCATCTTTACCGGGCGGTAAAGAAAACTACTGACATAGAAAAGTCCTGAGGCAACAGGAAGAGAGCTAAAAATCTGAAAAAATATGCACCTTGTTCCTAGATGTTGGGGCGTCATGACGAGTATTTTTTTGTATTTTACACACAGATATTGGTTAATGTACTAACAATAAAGGCTGAGAATCATCAAAAACCCACCTGTAACAATACCTGAAATTTGGCCCTTGACTTTGAAGACAGGATTTTGGAATCTTCAAACATCAATAACTTTTGCATTTCTGAATCAAATCACTCGATTTGAAGTGCATTAAAAAGGTGAGCCTTTCCTCTACATTTTTCATTCAGATATCACATCTGTAGCTGGTCTAAAAAAGATCCTACAGAGCTATTCATGCAGAACTGTTTGAACATATGTAGAGTGTTTAAATGACTAGATAGCACCTTACTAACATTATGAAGTGTGAAGGAGAATGGTTCAGCTTTTGAATGAACCAAAAATCGAGTTATTTGGAGCAGAATTGCAAAAGTTATTGAAGTTTTTAGACCACAAAATATTGTCTTCATACTCATGACCCAAATTTCAGGTATTGTTACATGTGAGTTTTTGTTGATTTTCAGTGTTTATTGTTAGTACATAAACCAATATCTGCGTGTAAAATACAAAAAAATACTCATCATGACGCCCCAACATCTAGGAACAAGGTGCATATTTTTCCAGATTTTTAGCTCTCTTCCTGTTCCCTCAGGACTTTTCTATGTCAGTAGTTTTCTTTACCGCCCGGTAAAGATGACATTTGGTGTAGTGTGATGATGTTCTAGGAATTGAGATAATAGGTCTCACTACTTTAAATGATCGAGGGTGCTTTGGATTAGGGGTTGGTTGGATTATTCTAGTCGCAGAGTCTGGAGGATTGATGGATTTAGATGGGACTGCTTTGACTACTATGGTTGGACTATGAACATGAGATCTTGGTGTACTCTGATCTGACAAAGGAGAACTTTGATGAATTGAAGAAGTTGATCCACCTGAACAAGTAGAAGAACTTGAAGATTTTTGTATAGGTTGTTGTGAATCAATTGGAGTCTTTGATCCAATGCATTAGCATAAACCACATAAGATTTTCTAACTTGCTGTCTTGCCTTTTCTGCTAATTATTCAATTTGATAACTACTATTCCAATGATTGATAGTTAACCTTTTATGACAAAACTGTCCTCAATCAGTTTCTAGAAACTTTCTACTGGAAAAATCGCTTTTTGTTTACTAAACTCAGATCAATTTGCTTGAATTATTTCTCCTATTCTGGCTGATGCTTCTGCTGATGCTTCTGCTTTTGATTCTTAAGGTTTTCAGCTGATTTCATGTGTCAAATGACGTCAGAACATGAGGAGTAATAGTTCATTTGACGCAGAATCATCAAATTCAGAATGTTCAACCTTCAAATCATTAGTAACAGAGGTTTATGACAAAAGTTATAAGGAATCAAAGGATGTGATTACACATTAACAAGATCACAAATCATTAATAACAAGCAATTACATCATTGGAATGCTGAATCATCATAAAATCAAATCAAGATTCATTCTAGAACATCCAAAACACAGCATATACACAGCATATACACAGCATTTGATCATAAGAATAGGGATTAGTAATAGATCTTATCAGATGATGAATAGAAGATCACATTACATCATGGTAATGATCATAATGAGTTAATGAGCTACTGTTGGCAAAATTTAGGAGTGTACACCACGGGGTAATCCATACCGTTGTTTGGCGGCCATGGAATACCGCCGTACGGCGAGATTTGCTTGGTGGTGGACGCTCGCCGCCAGATGGTCCGTGGCGCGGTGGTCAAACGGCGAGATTGCCTTACCGCCGTTAGACAAGCCATCTGGCGCCCTACAGACCGTTTCCGAGGAGATGTTTCCGAGCAAAGTTTAGGTGCCGATCATCGGGGAGCTGATTGAGGGAACCTCTTTGTTCCCTCCCATAGCGACGCCATCCACCCCTGGTGGGTTAAGGTATCAATGTCAAGGAAGACGTGGAGGAGCTCCCAGACCAAAGAATGGATTCTAGGAGCTCTCCCGCTGTCAGAATAAAAAAGGGATGCCTTGAACCACGTCTATGGAGGCAATTGTGAAAATGGACCTTAATTTCACAGCCTCCGGTTTTACATTCCTGGAAGACATTACGTCTTACCATCTTCTGCTCACCAAAAGACTGGTTGACCTCTCGCCAGGCCTACCAGCTGAATTCTGGCCGAAATCCCAGCTTTTGACCAGAAATCAGCTGGTATGGCCATACCAGCCAAAATCTGGTCGCACACTGGGATTTTGGCGAGCGTTTGGCCAGATCTCGACACAACCAACTTTTCGCTGGTATTCCAACAAAAAGTTACCCTGTGGTGTAGAGAGTGGTGGAATCATTAGATCATAGCTGTTTACCAAAATTTTAGTCATCTTTTGGTTCTTTAGATGGTGAAGAGGATTTTTAAGAGCTGTTGACCACTCATTGATTTTTATATAAAATTGTGTACTTTGTGCAAAGTTAGGTTTCCTTTCTTCTTCATCTCTTACAGAGCTTCAATTTAATTTATCATTATAAATTTATTTTAGCAGTACTAGGTCACTCAAACCAGCCCTTCATCAGAGGAGAAATTTGCTTTATGTGCTTTATATGAAACTGTCATTCTGGAATAATATCAAAAAGATATTGAGATTATTTTTCTTCATTTTGACTTGACTGGAATAACACTAAAATTGTGTTGAGACTAGCCATTTGGGCGGCGGGCGCCGCTCTGGAAAGACACTCCCATACAGAGTAGCCTAAAATCAAGTCAGAAGAAGGTTCAGACTTATTGGTGCCTGTTTTAGATGTTTTGAAACTTGAGATTCTAGATATCCTTTTTGCGTTCCCTGATAAATACCTTAAGACCTGGTCTCACACACTCAATTTGGTACAACATTGAAAAAGAATAATCCAAAGATCTACTAAGTATCTCATTATAATGAACACTTTGTTTTAACACCGAAGAATCATGTAAATAAATGAGAATTTGGGGTGTTGAAGTACATAGTTGAGATGCCCCTCAATTGACTCTGAGCTCCACGCTTGTCAATCTACACACACGCGCAAGCAACCCCTTGATTATAACTCTTGGGAACGTTTCTTCCAATACAACGGCAGCTCGTACCGCACCTGGACTTGGAAGGGTAATGTGAGGATGCTCTTGAGTATCGGATGCAATCGTACACAAAGTAACTATTACGCACAATAAATCAATCTCAATATGGAGAAGGGAATAAGAGGACAGATGGACAATTACCATGACCTTTGCTTTCACTTGGGTTGATTCGCAAGGTAGTGTATACACAATATGGGAGTCCATCCGCCATATTGACTATTTGGAATGCGTATTGACCATACAAATGAACACAGTACATTCGACCGTTGTCGTGGTATAGCCTAACATTTCCTTCAACACCTTATAACCAAATCGAATATCACCAATTTCAGTACAAACTTTGACATCCTCAAAGTGCAAAAATGTAGATTGCTTACCATCACGGAATCTATCCCTAATGATAAATAGTTGCTGAAGTACATCAGCATCCATGTGAAGGGTGGTTCCATCTGGTGAGACACTCATGAAAACTATGATAATAAAAGAATTGAGAGTCTGAAAGAAAGTAGAGAGATCTTGTATCTTTTTGATTGAAGTAGAGAGATTGTGTAGCTTTTTGAACGATTTATGATTTTGTAATAGTGTTAGGATCGATTTATGAAATTGTAGTAGTCTTAGGATGTGAGGGGATAACCATCTCATTTGGCAAGCTGTCTAAATAAACAATCATCCTGATGACTCGCAATGAAACAGTCCAAGAAGTTCGAAAAGGACCCACGTAAGATTTGAGAAGTACGTGGATAATTTTCCATCGTGCAATAAAGATAAAATGAGATTAAATAAGATACAAACTGAGTCGGTCGGCATTCAACAGCAATTGATGATATCGAACGACTTAACCTTCATCTTTGTTGATTGAAAAAATGTATGAATTAAATGACGTTTGTTAAATGGCGATATGAGCTCATTATCAAAGGGTTCAAATCGAGCGACTTACGATTTGGTGTTTCTCAAAAGAAAAAACGCTATAAACCCTATAAGATTTATCAAAAGAAAACATGAGCTAAATGTCGAGACGGTTTGGGAAAATTGAAAAAGGCTCTGAATTGCCATTAGGGATCACAAATTCTTCCCAAAATTGGAAGAAAATCAAGACTCAAGGTCTGTTCAACTCAATAATACCGTTCATCACTTAGTTAATCTTATGTCAAATCTCTCTCGAGTTATCTCAGAGTAGAAAACGTACTCATAAGAAGCTAAAAAAATGGAACACATTTTTTAATATTTCAATTTTTGATTGTTATTAAGTTATTCGGACCAAATCCATAGACTACTACGTTTAAAGCAATCAGATGATACCCATAAGACAGTTCCCCCTCTTTTAAACAGTGAAGTCCTAACGCTTGCTATATAACAATGAAAAGGAACATCACAACACACATATGACCCCTAATAACTATTCTTCTATAAGTCCCGTGAAAGGTGATGTAGATCTTGTGTTAGAACTTCTGAACATTTAGAATCATAGGTATAAAACACAGCTTACAAAGATGTCAGTGCATGACTACACTAATTCTTCTATCTTCCCTGACTGGTCCTCGAGTTGATCAATAAACTCCTGTGAAAGGGGACGCAAGTATTGGGTTAGGGATGTCTACGAATCATAACAGGGCTAGCAAGCACAACTTACCAAGATATCCGCATGATTCATGTCGATTCTGAAATGACATGTGATTCCACGATCCCTGAACAGAGCTTCCAACAAAGGATCGCTATTGATGCTCCAAGTGTAAGTGATGAAGATGAAATGTTTCAACTTTGGTGAACCCTTGAATGTTCGAAGATCTGGCAAAACTTTGGCCCAGAACGTTTTCGTAGCTTCATAAGTTGTAATAAAAACTTCAACCGTTTTGAAAATGGGCCAATTGAACCAAGATAATTGAGAGATGTAAGAATCAATAGACATGGTCCGTACCACTCGAAGTTTTGGTAGCGACACTCTAGCAACATGGCAGGGTATGTGCCAGGGAATAGTCTCCAACATAATCCCTTTGAGAGTGTCTGACAACTCCAAAATAATTCCAGCACAATGATTGGGGTCAGAAGGCGGCGTGTATCCTAAGAGTCGGATTTTCTTGCCTTTGATTGCGCAGAAATCGTGGAACGCAAAGAGATTGTAGATATGGCAGGATATCCACAAATGCACGAGATTAGGTAAAGCGCCAGTGTCCACGTGTATAGGATTGAGAGTCGCAAGTCTGAATGATAAAGATTCTAAAGATGTAGCGTTGTTCAAGACAGCAGTGATGGATTTTGAATCGTTTGTGATCTCTCGCACCTTTGTACCTTTGATCTTCAACGTTTTTAATTTCTTGATGCGTTTCAATGCGAGTACCAAACCATCTGAGAATCCTACTGAGTTAGTAAATTTGAGCTTTAAATGTTCCAAGTTGGAGCCGCATAAGCTGATGATGCTCGCCACGTCCGGCATAAGAATTGAGTTTGGTTCTCGATTCGCGTACTCCAATTCAAGTTCGTCTAGAGTGTAGTCCGGTAAAGCTCCATAAACGGCGAGGTTGTTGAAAGCGGGGATATACATAACTTGCTCCAAACATAGGTCACGCAAATTTGAAATACACGAAACAACCATACAGCTCTCCCACATCTTGACCATATAGCCCTTGATCCAAGGAGTTCTCAAGTATAAACTGCGATAAATGACAGGGGGAATAGCTATCAACCATGACCTGGCCAAGAACCTCAAGCAAAGTAGATATGTAATAGATGCATGATTTAAGAATGGCTTATCAGCAATATCAAGAGGGTCACCGAATAATTTTGGAAGGTCATCACATAAGAAAGATATAATACACTCTACAACTTCTACAGGTAAACCAATAGGGCGAGTCATGTTTGGCGGGGATTACTGTTTAGGGAAGTCAAGGAACTTGAAGGCTTTTAGAACAATTTTGAGAATGGATTCGATCCACCTTTGATTGTCATTTTCAAAAAAATAACAACTTCGAAGGAATCAAAAAGGTAAGATTGTACTACCCATCCTTCCGAAAGGCCCACTGCTTGTTCTTGTGTAGACAACTTACATATGTGTGGATTGGAAGAAAGATGATGGATCGCACGGGCAATCCAACGTAGTGGGTCTGTCATATCACCTAAAACTCTTGCTCGCACCACCGGGACATCTAAGATAGGAATTTAGAGGCGTCATCTCACGCTCTTGCTTAGGGACAACTTCTTTGTGACTTCAGACCACGCGGTATTCTAATCTTCAACAGTCTCATGTACACAGATAAGTTGATTAGACATTTTGAAGTTGTAGAGATCACAATATTGCATTGTGATATGAGAACCTTTTCGGTTAGTTGCATCAGAAAATGATGGTTATTCTTAACAAACGTGAAAACGGCAGTAACAATAGAGCTACAAAATGAAAATCTAAAGCCTCAAAAAGATGGGAATTTACCCACGCAAATGACGACACACTCTGAGATTGGGCGGGCGTTTCTCTCAGAGATACGCCATACTCTTAGCTTGATTACATGAAGCCCATACCTGCCCATTCTCAATTCTCTACACGCTTCGAGCAATGAACAAAAATAGCTAAGACACATTTAAAGGGATTGATGGCCAAGATCCCTTATGATCGCGATACGCAAAAGCACAGCGTCGATTGCTGCTTTTGACATTATCTGTTCTGATAATACCTTAGCTCGTAGAACCCGTGTACTTGGAAGCACGAGCAACCAATGATGTCGGGTTTTGGATGAAATTGTACACAGACCACCTGTATAATAGATACAATGGATATCAATATATATATCATTGGGTCAACTCACAGGACCGAATGACTCTTGAGACTTACTCTGATTTCCACTTTCAGTTGGATGGTATTCTAAAGTCATGTACACAACATGATCCCCATCTGTTGCGCGGACTATTCGAAAAGCCTTATTTCCAAATGGATGGACATTGTAGCTTCGGCCATCATTGTGTTGTAATCTAGCACTTCCTTCACTTCCTTTGAACCAATCCCAATTTCAGTGTTTCATTTACTCCATGAAGTGCAAGGGCTTAATTACTTACCGTCTTCGAATCTGTCCCTAACGATGTAAAGCTGCGCAAGGACATCATCCCTAATTTCTAGCGTGGTTCCATCTAGTCCAGTTTCCATGGCTACTAAGTTGAGAGACAGCGAAAGAAATAGTAGAGAAGAGTAGATTTTACTTTGGAGTACGAATTGGTGAGTTACTTCATAGAAAAGCTGACCTTGAATGTGGTTTTTTGGGGAAAAATTTGGAAACACCAATGAGATGAAAAGGGAAGAAGAGAGCTTGCTTGATTGGCTGTAAACACTCAAGCAGAGGGTAACATATACGCGATTTGACCTTTTTCGAGTGTTTGGATCAGCTTCTGCATAGTATTCACGAAATTCCTTACTTGAGAACGTGGCCTCACTTTCAGAAGAGTCTTAAAACCGCACAACTTAACTTTTTAGAACTCACAGGATATAGACTTTTTCATTGAACAAAGGGGATTGTTCAAGATCGACCAACTTGAATTAAGAGTCAAACGACCCCATATCTTTGAGTTTCAACGGCTTAAGGTGTTTGGATCTTTACAAATGAAAATCCTTCGAACGTATATGAATCTGAATACTTTGAATCTTTATCAAATGAAAGGCAAAGATCGAAATCAATCCAGTATTTGCACCGATTACGCAAAACAATATCATCCTTATCAGTTCCGCGTGTATATAACTTATCATGTCATATGTTAAATAAAGGAGTGGGCAAGACATTAAGAATGAAAGATATCGGTGCGTTTCAAGGTAAGCACTCGCTCAATCACCCCTTCAATGGTAGCTCGTGGGATTTCATCCTCTGATACAATCCCAGCTCGTAACTCGCCTCCAGCAGCTGGAAGTGTAAACCTTGGATGTTCTCGAGTTTCCGATGAAATCGTACACGAACTATCTAAAAAAACAAATGATATCAATACAGACAGTGGAAAAAGAATACTGGTCAAGACTCACTGTCAGTGTCGGAGTGAAAAGTAGAGTATACACCATATGAGGCTCCTTTGGTCCCTTGCACGATTCGAAATGCATGATTACCATACAAATGGACATTGTAGGTTTGCTTCTACTAATACAAAAGTCCATCAATCAGAAGTTGGCTCCTCTTTCAAAGGAGGCTTAGAAAGTAAAAGACTACAATTACTTGAAGTTGAGGGAGATGGAGTGACTTGAATTGTTCAAGATAAAATGAGTTGAATTCTTGGAAGTCAAACAACCCCAAATTTAAAAAAGTTGGTACTCGTAAAGATCTTTTGAACAGACGATTCAGAAGATTGAAAAAGGTTGGGTCTGTTGAATAGATCCAGGAAAGAATTTCTTCGAACACGGATCAGCCCAGATGATTTAATGGAAGGACGACTCGCCAAATGACATCACTAAGTGAAAGAATAAATCAAGTTGATTGTCGTTCAATTGCAAGAATGACCCAGGCAGATGAGAAAAGTAAGAGATGGGCTTGTAAGGCTGTGCAAAATTGAGGTAAAGGAAAATGTTATTGATTAAAAAAGTTTGAAATTTGAGTAGTTCATTGATATGGCCTTGAAAACTGGTCAACTCATACCACTGATAGGGCAACATGTACGTAGAAGTTAGAGACATGTATAAGAAAATGAGAAACAAAAATGTATTTCTTGAATCGATTGGCATACATAAAATTCAAAGACAAATACATGCAACTTCATTGTTTCTTTTTCCCGCCTTTTGTTTTTAACTTGATCTTCTCCATCTTACCATTATTCTCATCCATATAAGATTTGACTCTCTGTTTCTTGAATTTCTGCCACTCCGCATCTGAGAGACCCTCCTTTTCCTTCTCCAGTATCCTTATCCTATTTACCAAGCTTTCGGAGATCTGACATGATGAGCCATATAGCGTAACACCACAATCTTTATGCTCTATGACCTTACCCTCCGCATCCCTGGAGATCGATGTTGTTGTATAGTGTGGCACCTATGTTTACATAATCAATACAAACCCACATCAAAGGTGAAAGAGGTTTGAAAATAACTTACGGTAACATCCCATAACATCTCATACATTCCATCACAACGGCTGAGGACCACCTTAACGCCATAGCTTTTGACCACAAAGCATGCCCCTTGCACAGAGCCGAGTCGCTTTGCTTCCTTAGCTTCAATTGGATTTCCAGTTTTACGATTGATCAAACCCCACGTACCCGATGCATACCTTGTATGGTCACGGTCAGTGTGCACACGGTTTGCAAATCCATCCCAAGTCACAACCAAATTTGATGCAAAGACTTTACCGTTCTGAGTGTCCTGCCATTCCAATGCATCAAACCCTGGTACCTTAGTTTCCAACGCGAGTGCCAGGTTGGACTTGAAAATCAAAAGTGAGAGTGTTGAAAACCTTTCAGCCAAAAAGTCACGAATGATATGGAATCTTATCATGCGTTCGAGGTCGGTGAGGAGGCGATCTTCTGTTGTTGCAGTGAAAGAGTTCACTGCGTAGGCACCTATGCAGCCACGCGATTAGTATCTTTCTACTGCATTCGGTGACTATCAAAAATGCAACTACTTACCAAGTGAACGTTCCAAGTCAGTGCCTCCCCTCCAGCCACAACATGCCATGCATCCACACACAGCATGTGCATCTTTGTCAACATCCTCCTTATCCTTATGCGCTCCATTTATCTTGCAGAGGTTGCGGGCACGTGCATGAAGGAACGTCGTCGATACCGCGTTATCAAACTGTTCTCTTAGCTTTGAGTCCATCGAGGGAAACATTGTACACCTCACCACCATTACGACCGACAGAGCCTCCTTATCAATAACCACTACAGTACCATAATAGATTTCAATAAGTTCTTCCTCATCACTAATATCTTCATCATCGCTTCTCTTCCGGAAAATAAATTTTGTGTTTAGTGGTAAGCCTAATTCCCGTGCCAGCTTCGATTGCAGATCATTCCGTTTTCTATGAAAGCGATATAATGGTCTTCCTAAACCTGTTGGTTTCTTTCGATGCTCTTGATACTTAAGATGGGAGGGTGAGGTTTTCGAACTGAAGTTTTTAACTGGTATACCTGCAGCACGCTTAGCCATGTTACTTTGCTGACGACCCATCCTCAATCTGATACAGAAAGAGACATTTGGTTAATCCCAAAAATCAGTGAATTATGAAGGTGATAAGAAGAAGTTTGAAGTCAAGCAAAAACTCACCACCTTGATCTAAACTGGAAAACGGTAACGACACTTGAGCTTCCAATGTAATAGAGTGTCAGTGCTCGATTTTCTGAAAGTTTGCTGATCAAGGAAGGTAAAAGAAAGATAAAAAAAGAACCATCTTAGCATCAATTATCGATATGTCGCCATCAGTTGGCAGTAAGATTAACAAAGTCAAAGTACACTTTGATTCTGGAGAAGTAACATTTCAAAGTGAGCAACCCCTTCAACATGAAATGAAAAATTAAGAGGAAGAAAATCACCTACTCGTCTGTGGACTCCAGATGGTTTCAGGAAGTGATGGAAGCAGGGTGATATTTGAAAGAAAGAAAGTCTTAACATAGTTAGATTCATGTTTATGACATATTAAACCTTGAAATCGTTGATGTTACCAATACGTGAATGACCTCCAGATGATTTGGAGATGAACGAAGCAAACTGTAAATTTCCAGAAGTAAGAGCCTGAGATTAGGTTTCTGTTTGACTGTGTATGAAAAATGAAAAGAGACAACGATACCGATTTATTTGTCCTCAACAGATGATTCCTGGAAGACAATCGACGCACGCTATCAAACGGAAGATCCCCGTATGTGATGCCGGTTCGTAGCTCAGAGGCCAACCACACAACAAACACAATCAGTTCAAATGCCAAATGATTTTGTGATTGTCGTTTGACCTTGATATGATTTGAACCAACCTTGTGATTGTTGAAAAGCTGAGATTTGATCGATATGAACTTGGTCTGAAGGTGATTGAAGTAAGAGGTAAAGTTGAAATTTGTGGAGTCGTTCCAAACTCTCAAAGTGAGAAACCTTAAAAGAGATTAGGATTCAGAAATGGATTATGGGACTGAAGTTACATTACACGTGACATGGAGGTGACTGTCTACATGGTGTAACATTTCACCAGAACAAACCGGATGAATGGTATTTGTCACTAAAATCGCAACATACACAGCATATATATATATATATATATATATAATAAGTTCATTATATCGAAGGTAGATATCTGCACATACAGTCAAGCATTATGCACTGAAAACAATTAGGCCAGCTAATTGATTTATTGTTGAAAAATTTTTAATGAAAGCACATAAGTTGTGAGAAGAAAAAAGAAATAGAAAGACGGTGAAAATAATGGCCAACACTATGATTTTTGTGATCTATAACAAATGACCATTTGTGCAGAGATGGAACCTGACTTATGAGAATAAGGGGCATTCGAACCAAACTTAAAATTGTAGCACAGGGTGGAACACTATGTTGTTTGTTGCTAAATCATCAGAGTCTGAAGTAATACAAACATTGACATTCGTGGCCATAGTGCAACGCGATAAAGCCACATATAGCTGGCCATGTGTGAAGACAGGACGTGGGAGCAAGACGGTTACCCTATCCAGACTTTGACCTTGACTTTTGTTGATGGTCATACAGAAGGCAGGCGTGATTGGAAATTGATATCGAATAAACGGGATTGGACAACTCTCGGTTCCTTCGTGATGGAGCTGGATCTTTGGCAAGCTGATTGAGGCACCTTTTAGCTCACCGGTCAGAATTCGACATTGCAATGCACTCCTTTTGCAATTGGTGATCAAGAGGCGGGTACCGTTACAGAGACCATCGGCTAGATTCAAATTTCGTAACAGCATTACTGAAGCTCCGACTTTGAGCTCCAACTTGTGAGGAGGAAATCCAGGGAAGTTGAAGGTATTGAGTACATCAGTTGTGACTGGATCGAAGAAAATTTCATTCATCTCGTCTCTTGAAGTTGATATATGAAGATGTGAAGTGAGAACACGCAGGTTCAAGATTGAAAGCTTTCGAAGTTGAGGCTTAGCCGTATATATAAAAGGGATCACCTGGGGAAATCAGGTGTCGTATAAGTACTACGGCACAAGCCTGATAAGCTTCGAAAGAGCTTCTAAAATGAAAACACACCTGGGGAAATCAGGTGTCGTATAGGCAAAAGAAGAAAAAGAGAAAGACTTGAGACAAACCTGTGCGTAAAAGCAACAGGATAAAGTAGAACAGTATCAAGTCGGAAGATGTAAGTAAAAGAATAAAGCACTAGAATAGAGATAAAAATAGATGAGACTCTTTAACGTAGATAAGTTGATGAAGAAGAGAAAAAGACTTACAGTTTCTTTCCGATGAGGAAAGAAACTGGAAGGTACAATAAAGATCTATATATAAGAAAGACATGATAATCTTATCCACAGTCATACATATAAGTCACGCAGGCCACACTCGGCCTATTCCCAAAAGAAAGAAAAACACCCAAATTACACACAGACCAATCTACCAACTCGAACTCATAACTTATCAATCAGGAAATAGAAATCAACTTGATCTTCTTTAACGACTGAAGTTCTTGACCCGTCAAGTAAATTTCATCTTGAATAGAACATTCCAGCCTACGCACCAGCACCCACAATTTCTCGAACACACACACACACCGTGGTAGGAATAAGAATACCACGACACGCCCCCTCAAGAACTTCAGGAGAATCATACATGCTTCATCCCCAATAGTTGGTGCAGATAGTAGAATTGCTGCCTTCCAAGTGGTTTGGTGAGCAGATCAGCCATCATTTCGGTGGTAGGACAATGCTTGACTATAAGGGCGCCCTGTTTAACCACTTCTCTGATCCAGTGATATTGTATTTCAATATGCTTAGTGCGAGCATGGAAAATAGACTTAGTTGTAAGATGAATGGCCCCCATATTATCGCTACATAGCTCTGTAGGATCAGGATCTTCAAAACCGAAAACAGCCATCATACCCCGTAACCACAGTAACTCCTGGCCAGCTTCGGTGATGGCCCGATACTCCGCTTCTGTTGAAGATAACGCGACCGTGGGTTGCAAGCGAGATTTCCACGAAATGGGTCCTCCCGCAAGTTGAAAGATGTATCCAGTCGTTGAACGCCGAGATTCACGATCACCGGCCCAATCAGCATCGCAGTGAGATTTAGGCAAGCTGAA